TTCAAAACGACTACTAGGCAAATCTCCCATAATGGGCTGTACTACTACCGGTCTATATCGGAAACATTTAACACAATTATGTAGTACGCGTTTGGCTGCCTTACGTGCGTTCAATGGCCAGTAATTTAATCTAATAGTAGATAACATTGCTTGCGGGCCGCCGTGCATTAAACGCTCATGCTCGCGTAAAAATAATAAACGAGTGTATTGACACTTATCGCCCGGCAACACTATAGGATGACGTTGACCTTCATCAATAGACAATGCATTTTTCAGCCTACCACCAACTCTAATCAAATGTTTATCATCTAAAAACGGACTTAATCGTAACAATTTACTTTTCTTTGACAAATCTTTACCATTTGTTAAACAATTAATTTCTTTAGAAAAATAATTATTTTGTACAATGCGTATTAAATTAATATTCGCTCTATTTAACTCATCTGCATTTATAACTGTTGTTTTAAACATTTTTTTATGTACTTTAATATCAATAAATCGTAAACAATAAACCATAATACGTAATATTTTATTTAACGATGAAAATTTTTCCAACAAATCAAATTCTTCTGTCACAGTACCAATAAATNCAACAAATCAAATTCTTCTGTCACAGTACCAATAAATTTAGTCGCACTTTTTCTTTCTAACGTTTCATTTGAACTTTTTAATATTTCATTATTTTGTGCTGGCCATTCTGATTTATCCTGACTCAACCAAAATGGACCTTGCCACCATAACTTCATCTCTGTAATCACATTCGCCTCACATCCTCGAGATAATAAGTCCGCGGGATTTTCTTGCGAACGTACATGAAACCATTCTGATGGACAATTTAAATTCTGAATTTCACCGACTCGATGAGCAACGAATGTCTTCCAATACGTGGACGGGGAAGCTATCCATGATAAAACTATACGAGAATCCGTCCAAAAGTACTTTTTTGTTATATTTAAATTTAACTTTTTTGTAACATTATGGGTTAACCGCGCTAGCAATAGTGCAGCACAAAGTTCCAATCTAGGTATTGACACTACTTTTAATGGCGCTACTTTTGATTTTGCGCAAATAAGTTTTACACTATGTTTTCCATCTATATCTGTGCATCGTAAATATATGCATCCCCCATATGCCTTTTCGGATGCGTCCGAAAACCCATGTATTTCTATTGAGGCAATTTCCTTTTCACATGTTATCCTTCGCGGTACTTTTAAATTATTTAATTTTTGCAAGCTTTCACGATAACTTAACCATTCTTTACTATTATCATTAGTTAATATCTCATCCCAAGCTAATTTGATGTGCCATAAATTTTGAATAAAAAGTTTTGCCTTTACTATAACAGGTCCTAAAAGACCAAGAGGATCGTAAATACTAGCTACCTCAGACAATATTTTTCTTTTAGTTAAATCACTTTTTGTATACTTATTCAAATTTATTTTAAATATAAACATATCATTAACCGGGTCCCATGTTAGACCGAGTATTTTGGTTATCGCTGATTCATCAAATACGCGTACATTATCTTTATTTTCTACTGTGTCACACACAATTGTATTTTTATTAGATAACCATTTACACAACGACATACCGGCTCGTTGAAATATTCCGATAAGATCATCACGCAACTCAACAGCTGACTCTATACTATCTGTGCCGCCTAAATAATCATCCATATAAAAATTATTTTTTATTTCCGAACAAGCTAACGGATAAAAATTTTCTTCTTGATTAGCTAAAGTCTGCAAACAAGCAGTAGCTAAAAACGACGAAGGACCCATACCATACGTTACTGTTGTTAATTTATACGCGTCTATAGGTAATGCTGGATTTTCTCTCCATAAAATTCTCTGGTAATTACAATGTTCAGGGGCTAAATTAATTTGTCGATACATTTTGTTTATATCAGCAGTTAAAGCAACTTTATGTGTTCTAAAACGTATTAAAATAAATATCATATCATCCTGTAAAACTGGACCTTTTAATAGTACGTCGTTCAGTGAATTACCAGATAACGTTTTACACGACGCATCGAACACTACACGCAGTCGCGTTGTTGTACTATTATAATTGTAAACAGCGTGATGCGGTAAATAACATATATTTTCCCCGACTATAGGCTCCTTTTCGTCTATTATTTTCATGTGACCTAATATTTCGTACTCCTTCATAAATTTACTATATTCCTCCTTTAAATTTTCGTCTTTTTGCAACTTTCTTTCCATATTTAAAAATCTCCTCTTTGCTATTTCGTAAGATTGACCTAATTTATAATTTTCGCCTTCTTTAAAAGGTAAATAAACCATAAATCTACCACTAGCATCTCTTTTAACCGTGCTTTCGAAAAACTCTTTACATTTTTTATCTTCCGTTGTTAGAGGTGCATCCGTACCAACCTCTTCTAAATACCAAAATTTAGACAAAATATTTTCTAATTGAATTTCTTCATCAATTACTGCAGAATAACTTACAGAATTGTATGGTTGACTATGCGCTGAATTTACCACTCCTGCAATCACCCAACCAAACTGGGTTTGCTGAAATACAGGTCCATCAATAGATGGTTTTAATTTTCCTTCGCATAAAATATCGAAAAAATGACCTGCCCCGAGTAACAAATCTATTTTTTGCGGTACTGAAAATGACGGGTCAGCTAAAGGAATACCTTTCGGAATAACACATTTTCCTTTAACACTATTCGACGGAATACATCCTGTTATTTTGGGAACGACTAAACATTGTACTTTCAATTTAAATGAATTAATACGTGATGTAATTATTACGGTAACCGCAGAGGTAATACTTTTTTTACTTCCTCCTATTCCAATGACACTATGATGCACTCGCGATTTGCGCAATCTTAATAATTGTACCATATATTCACTTATAAAATTACACTGAGACCCAGAATCCAGTAAAATTCTACATTTTTGTTTTTCACCTTGAACATTACCCGCATAAGCTTCTACTGTTGACAATAACACTTGCTCTGGCGATTGAGCCGCCGCAATGGCGCTCGTTAACACGTTATCGGTGATTACTGAATTATCGCTTGTCGTATTATTATCTACCTTTACTTCTTGATTTTGAATGTTATTTAAATGTAACAAAACATTATGCGATTTTGAACACTTTAAACAATAACGCGCTGTACATTTTTCATTATGCCGTCTCAAACAAATTTTACATAATTTGAGTGCCGCTACCTTTTTAATCCTATCCGCAATTGACAAAGACATAAATTGTGGACAACGATAAATTGTATGTGATAAATCACAAACATAACATTTTAATCCTTGTGTAGTTGTTACAGCTGCTGATTTATATTTATTTTGTTTAATAAACGCGTTTTGGTTTCCAAATTGTTGATTACTACGAGAATAAATATTTTTGGATGCTTCTACCGCTTCTAACACCTTTACTCTATTTTCCAAAAATTCAATAAATTCTGATACGTCTGCTATTCTATCTTTGGGTGATTCTGTCTCCCATCTACTTAGCGTATTTCTGTCTAGTTTAGTAGAAATTAAATGCATTAACATCGGTCCCCATTCATGGGGTCTCTCATCTAACATTTTTAGTGCACTAATACGACAAACTAAAGCATCTAAAAATTCTCTTAACTTAACCGCAGATTCTTGATGTACTATTCCTAATTCGAAAATCGCTTTCACGTGAGTTTGAATTAATAACTTATTATTATCATATCTCTCTCTTAACATTTTCCACGCGCTTTCATAATTATTCGCTGTTGTTTCCAAACTTTTAATGATACTTGCTGCCTCTCCTGATAAAGACGAGCGCAAATAACAAAATTTTTGAATATCCGATAGATCCGCATTAACATGTATAAGCTTGGAAAATAAATCATAAAAAGGTTTCCATTCACTGTATTCACCAGTAAAAACTGGAATACTTATAGGTGCTAATTTAACGTGAGGTATAAACTTATTTGTTTGATTACAAATATTTTGCTGATCACTGAATTGATTTTCTCTAACCGTATCTTCGACCTTTGATAAACTAACTTTGCCTATTAATTCATTGGCTTTAACTAACGTCCTAAAGTATAATTCTTCCACGTCCTCTCTGTACTTTTCTTGTTCCTCTACGTCATCCTCTTCTTCTATTTCTATTTTGCTCTGAATACTTTCAAACTCTGCCCAAACGGCCTCTAACTTTTTTATTCTAAATGGGATTTGCTTTATAGCAACTTTATCGCTCTCTAAATACTTTTCGAATTTTACCAAATACGTTTTCAACTGTCCTCTGCGTTGCGTAAGATTGATGTTCGTCTCCCCCATATTGCAGGCAAGTGAGAGTACGCTGTGACGTTTAATAATAAACTGATAAACCGTAAAATTACACCTACTCCGTTCCTACTATTTTTTCCTACTATTCTATCCCCACATACGAGGTATTATTTTTACCTGTTTAAGCCTATGGGTCTTATATGTGTACTATCCACGTACAGAGTACGCGCCGATTTATTATTTCTCCCACCTTATAACCCAACTATTAACCGGGAAAAAACCAGTATAAACACCGACCTTACAATACTATTTTAATTACAATATTTTCTTTTATTTAGGAATTTTCTTTTGGAATAAATTAATTAATAAAAGGAAAATAATTGAATTTTTCTACCTTTCAATAGGCCTTTTGAATTTTATCCGCTTTTCGTCAGGGTAAACTTCTGGTAATCCAGATGACACGTTGCACTATTGCCGCAATTACTGTACTCGCACTTTAACTAAAACTTTTCGTTAACCAAAATCCGTGGCCGATGGACCATATGTTGTGGACTGTATTTACGCTTTATAGGTTCTTTCGGATTTAGGTTATTAGTAATTAATTTTTACTCNTCCAGAGGTCAAATTTTTTTTTTTCAAATTAAAGTATATTACATAAGCTTTAATTTAAGATATATATAAAAGTGTCAGTATTTCCGGAATACTTTCAAAAATTAAAGTGAAAATATCTTAGTAACAATACGCATGTTTAAAGTTTTGACCCCTCTTGTTAAAGGGGTATGATCCAATTTACAAAAAAAGCGTTCCAGATGAAAGGGGTATATNAAATCTTTATTTCTTCTTTGCACTATAACAATTATATTTCATTCTCTTATAAAAAGGATTTTTTTGACATAAATTAACATTTTTAAGAGTACTTACTTATTAATATTAGAATGGATTTCAGTGTATTTTATCAAAAACATAACATTTCATTATGTAGAAATTGTATTTTTGTAGTTTGGTTAAAATTTATAATACAAGAAATATAAAAGTTGTTGAAATAAACTTATTATAAAATAGTTTATGTTTAATTTAGTTAAGTAAACATCAAAACGATAGTTTGAAATGAATGAAAATAATAGAATAAATGAGTACAGAATAGGTTAAACCTAGCATTTATTATTAGATGAGGTTATGTCATTGATTTTTCTTTTAAAAAAAAGATAAGAGCTTTTGTATGCCATTTATTATAATGTTATTGATAACAAGTCATATAACTCTTCAATCTGTGTCTTTTAAATAAGTACATTTTAGCTTCATGACTTCACCGTGGGCACTAGCGGCATTGGGTAAAATACCGATTTCTAAGTTTTTTGGTAGGTGGTCCGAATCTCGTCGCAGCGGTGTTCGTAACGCGTTTTTCGGGATAGGCGAGATGGGGCGCTGTTCTTGGAAGCGCGTTACATAACGTCGGTGCGGCCAGATATCGTTCCATCACCCAATGGTCTAATTAGTGTCCACGCTACCACCGACATAGTTCAGGGGGGGCATACTTTCTGACCTCTGGACATGTCTTCATGGTGAAAATGGCTAGCGAATGCTATTTTTGTATGAAAATTCTCGATTTTATAATTTACATTTTTTACTTTAAAGTGCTATAACTTTTTAAAAAATGTATGGATCAATACAATTTTTTCATGAAAAGTAGTATTCATATACATCTTTCATTGGACATACTTTTTTTTTAAATCAGACCATTTCCCTATATGTGGGGGGGCTTAAAATATAAAAAACGCATATATAAAGTAGAACTTTTTCAACTTAATTTTTGAAAATGTTCCGGAAGATCTAACACTTTTATATATATCTTAAATTAATGCTAATGTAATATACTTTAATTTTAAAAATAAAATTTGACCTCTGGACTTGTCTTCACGGCGAAAATCGTTACCAAATGTTATTTTCGTGTGAAAATTCACGATTTTATTTTTTACATTTTTAGCTTTATAATGCTATAACTTATTGAAAAGTGTATGGATCCACACAATTTTTTTACTGAGAAATAATATTTTTTAATAATAAACCCTTTTTCGTTCGACATACTTTATCTTAATCGAGATATTAATAAGGAACCAGCAGATCATGTAGCTTTTGGAATAAAACGCCAATTTTTTTAAAATTTAACACTATCTAATGATTTGCATCGAAGCGTTTTTTTTGATAGTGATTTTAATCACTGTCAGATATGATTATACTTGATCCAACTATACCACGACACCACTGTGCCGCGACCCCCCCGTGATAGGTTTTTTTTTATAAAGCCAAGAGGTTGGTTTGTTAGCACAGTACTCTAAGGCGAACTAGCCTAATGTTACTTGGTAATTTAATTTTACTTATTATATACATTTATTTATTAAGTAAACTTTTGTTTCTTTAATTTTTGACAAATTAACTGATTATTTATTTATAACTGTTGTATTGATAACAACAGGANTGATCCAACTATACCACGACACCACTGTGCCGCGACCCCCCCGTGATAGGTTTTTTTTTATAAAGCCAAGAGGTTGGTTTGTTTGTACAGTACTCTAAGGCTAACTAGCCTAATGTTACTTGGTAATTTAATTTTACTTATTATATACATTTATTTATTAAGTAAACTTTTGTTTCTTTAATTTTTGACAAATTAACTGATTATTTATTTATAACTGTTGTATTGATAACAACAGGATCACATGATTTTTCTCTAAAAAGTCAATTTTGTAATATAAAAAATTGCACTTCATTGATGAATGATTATAAAATAAATGATATTTAAATAATGTTATATTATGGAATAGCATTTTATTTTAAAACTTTCCTATCCTTATTATTAGAATGAATTGCATAATTATCATTTGTAAAATGCAATGAACAAACAACAGCTAAATGAAATTAAACAAGCTCATAATAAACAGCTAAATATAAATATAACGATGAAATAATAGTGTAATTTATTTAGGATTCTGAAAAAATATGATAATGTTAATTAAGAGTTACTTGTTTTTACCAGAATCAAAATTTATTGGTTTTTTAGTTATTTGACCTAATCTTATTTGTTTTTCTCAGAATTTTCTTAAGACTGGATCTTTTGGAAATCGATTCAAGGTTACTTATTTATTTTTTACCAATGATTTTTTTTTACTACCACTAATACAATCAAAAAACTCACAAACAGGCATTTTGTCATAAAAAATATAAATTTATGTAGAAGTATGTAAGTATATCAAGTTAAAATAAACGCTGTTCATTTTATTCAATATACCCGGCATAATCATTTCATATCAAATAATTTGCAAATTGATCATATTTGTTTATATTGTAGTATAGATATCACAATAGATTGATATCAATCAATAATAGTAAAAGGTATCATAAATAATAATACAAAATATTAAAGTTGTTGTCAAGTATTTAATTTAAAGAATTGTATTTTGGCGGGCAAACCTACAGCCAATGAAATAAGGCGAACCACTACTATGGGTGGAAGGGCGGGATGCGTTAAACGGTCCAAAACACGTTTGTTGCTGACATACCTATCTACTTTGTCATGCAAACTACTAAATGACACTAATTGTCGATAAAGCGACTATAACAATTGAATACGTTTCAACGGTCACTGATAAAAGTGTACACTAGTTATGTATGTTAGATATCAATGCTAAAATTCCTATAGAATAAATATAGTTTAAAAAAACTAAAAAACACGCTTTTAAAGAACATCGAACTAAAAATTATTTTTAACTTTTTAGTTCGATGTTCTTTAAAAGCGTGTTTTTTAGTTTTTTTAAACTATATTTATTTTTTACTTTTTAGTTATATGTTATGATAGTTGTTACTATCAATATCATGGTTGTAACGGGTAAAGGGGAATCAGGGTTCGATTCCGGAGAGGGAGTCTGAGAAACGGCTACCACATCCAAGGAAAGCAGCAGGCGCGCAACGTGGAGGTAGTGACGTAAAATGACGATACGGGAATCATCCTTTGTAATCGGAATAAATACCCTATATATCTCTTAATGAGAATATAGCGTATTAATATATAAGTTTTAATAGTAATTAGAATATATATATATATATATATATATATACATGTAAAGCGACTTAAGTACGTAAACGTATCATGCACGAGGTATAGCTGTGTTTTGTTGGCGGGCGGGGCGCGAGGCATATATGGCGGCAGCGGCGTCGGCTGTAGGGATATATAAATGAATATTAACATATACGTATATACGTATAAATAATAATATATATATTAATATTAGCGTCGATGGTAAGAATATATAATCTTCGCATAATATCGTGGCACTTTCGTTGGCGTCGACGACGCGATGTCCGGTGTGATCCTCGGGCGTCAAAAGGTTAGCAGCGTTGATGGCGACGGTGCGCGAGTGGAGATCGGTTTATTGACGTTGCCACTTTGACAACAGGAAGAATACTACGGTATCATTAGCGGCGGTACGTCGTCGGCCGTGCGGCACTTGCTGGACTTTGCACCGCGGCGTGTAACGCGCGGTGTTGGTCAGTCAAATACTCAAAATTATACAGAAAAAAATAGTGTTGGCGCCGACTGGTGAGCGGAGTGGGGTGAATGCGTTACGACGGTCTAGTCTCAAGGTCATAGACGACGGCATACGCGACATAATAACACGTGCCGCGTGGAGTTACAAACTTACAACATACAAACATACATGTGAAACTAATATAAGCGTGTTAAAAAGTCCGGAAACATTATGATATGCATTGACTGGTAATGCTATATTCTACAAATACCCCAATTAAAGATCGCATATAAGAGAACGATTTTTAAAATATCCATTTAAGTTCTTTTTACATGCTTTAGTGAAAATGTTGTTTTTCTTAATAGATTTGCAGATAATTTGCAATTGATATTATCTATATAAAATTAAATTCATAAAAATGATCATAGCAAAATCTGCCTTCAAATAGGACACTTTTCTACCCTTAAAACAACGATCATTTAAAAATGGTTTAACATAAAAAGTTATTTTCACCATAATTCTTTATAAAATTGAATTCTCTATTAAAATTATAGAGTAGAAAAAATTATAATAAATTGTAATTAAGGTATATCTTGAATCAATTTATCCATCTCTCCTCTAAACACTTCTTTGTCAATTTCATCACATCCTACTTATGGTGCATAAGAACTTACTACATTGAACACTTTTTCCTCAGAAATTAATTTTACGACTATATTTTTTATGAACTATTTATTATTTTTGTAATTATAATTGTTTATTTATCAGCTCAATAATTAAATTTGAATGCAAGCTTGTTAGAGCAAAAAAAATATTTTTAATGGAATCCACATTGATACTTTTCTTGATCAATTTTTAAACCATAGGTCCACAAATCTTATCTAGTTGAATACATTAACCTTAAAAATTAAAATATTCTCCCTCGTTCCACGCAAGCGGGGTAAATCTCCGGAAAAGTAAAAATTTTTTAAATCGATGAATTTCGACATTTTTTAGACTTTTGTTATTTAAAATTGTTATATGTAAACATCACCTAAAGGGTTTTTCCTCCGCTATATATTAAATATTGTTAATAACTAGTGAAAAACTATTTAAAAACTATTTAAAAATATTTTTTCGACAAGTATGCTGCCATTTAAAAAATTTAAGTTGACACCCTTTTAAGGTATGAGGGGTAAATTAAAAAAAAACTTAATTATTAATAAATCAAGAAATATATATAATTAAAAAATACCAAAAAGAATTTTCTTAAAATAATTGTGTTTTTAAGAGAAATCGAGTGTTCATTATTAAAAGAATCACTCTACATAACAACTTGATATATTTTTATCATTTCTCCGTAAAAATTTCAATACTAAATTTAACAATTTCTTATTAAATCAATTTCATAATTAATTTAATTACAATAATATGTATATGTTTATGTATTATACTTATAAATCATAAAACTTGTAATCAGGATAAAAGTGAGAAAATAGCCGTTAATGTTGGAAATTGTATTTTTAATTAGGTATTTTTTGAAGTAATTCAACAATTGCTTTTAAAAATCAATCACTATCTATTGATATGAATGGAAGTGATTTTTATTAGTGTTAGATATCATCTATAGTTGTCCTTATTCTAGCATGTCCCCATTGTTCTGCGTTTTTTGAAAATCATTTTGCTATTAATTGTTTTGAAGAAAATTAAAATTTGGGTGATGGTTTCATTAGCTTGATAAGATAAAATATCAAGAAAATTATTATTATTAAACATGGTAAACCTAAATGTCTGAAATAAGATTTATGAATTGCTACTTTTTTATTTTAAAGCGTGATTTCGTATGGTTTATAATTTTAATATTACAGTTACTCTATATTACACTAGTATATCTTAAGTTAAAATTTTTAACATGAAGACAACTATTTTCACAATTTATACACTGACATATTTACGAGGGATGTTTAAGAAGTTTCTGTGTCCCATTAATATAAAATCATAGTACCGAAATGTGTGGATCCACGTACATTCTGTAACTTTGTACAAATATTAATTTTGGAAAATTTATCTTAGGGAAATTAGAATCCAGTCAACTCCATTTAATATGATTATATTAGAAATACTTAATTAGAAGTATTTCTACGACAAACAATTTCAACGATGTAAAAAAAACTTAAGGTGTTGTCATTGATTTTTATTCAATTTTAATAGTTTCAAAAACTTTGAATCTGTTTAATGGAATGTTTTATTTTGATATACGCTTATAAATGTATTATCAAATAAAATAAATTAAGTTTTAATTAATAAAATATATAAGACCTAAAAAGTAAAAAACTACAACATTTATTAAAACCAATTATATTGAGTATAGATAGTGTTATATATACTCCATGCTATAACTTAGATCTAATTTTTATTATAATAAGGTTTTTATCATACAAAATATTTTGTTATCAAAGTAAAATTTGGGCTTAACCCACATTTATAATAAAATAAAATAATAATTATTAGTAATAAAAACTACACATTTAGTATTATTTTATTTTTTTAAACATACCATTATAAATGTATATATTTACACAGATGTATGGGTATATATATATGTAAGAAAAATTATTACAAACAATTATTCACCAAATAGAAGCGTTCAATTATTGAACTTCGTACAAATAAAATTTAATTTTTAAAACTCTATCCTACTATTTTGCTGCATAATGTTTAATAAATCTTGCTGACGGATCATTTACTTTAATCCACTTTGGCATCCAGAAGTAAGGCATGAAGTTTGACGCTAATCCTGCGTAATGACTCTCAAATACATCTCTATAAATCATGAAGAACAACATTGAATTTTTTTATTAGTAAAGAAAGTCAGATATCAGAAATTTTAACTATAATATACAGAGTGGTCAATTTTATTTAAGATATGCATTTTTCAGAAATGACATAAATTGTAATTATTTGCTCTATTAATATAATTGGTGTATTACTTGTTTTAATTTATCTTACCGGTAGTACAATGACTCTTTGGATTTAGGTGAACAATGTGGATATTTTTCAGCCACTTTTAACAAGTCTTCATCTGTATACTTAGGATCTATCCAGTCTTGGATTATATTGAATAAAGATTTTTTAGCAGTTGTAACTCCATCACTTTAATAAATACGTTATACTTAATAATGGATTTAATTATTTTAAATTTAATATGGTTTAATAGGTGCTCTCATACATAAATATATTACCTGAATGCTTCTTTATGTCGCCATAATACTTCACTTGGCAATAAATCGGTACCATCAAACGCAGAACGTAGTAAATACTTTTCGATTTGGTTGTATGGTTGTCGCATTGTTTTGGGTAAATTGAGATAATAGTTTGTAAAACGTATGTCCAAAAATGGAACCCTCAATTCCAGCCTTAATAAGTTAATCATTAATTATATACTTTACGTATATATGTTTTATTTGTATGCTTACCCATGAGCGGCAGTTGTTCTGTCAGCCCTAAGTCCATCATACATGTAAATGTCTCCTAATAATCTAATACTCTCGGCATGTGCTTGGTCTGGACTAGGAGCATCTCTAAAATAAATGTATCCTTGAGCCACTTCATCCGCTCCTTCACCACTACATAATACTGTTGTGTCAGTATGTTGTTTTATATATTGTGAGACCAGATACATACCTTTGTAAAAAAATTTAATTAAAGATTTTAATAAAGATTTTAATCATAAATTTTATTACCACATGAAGCTCTTATTGTTGTTATATCAGCTGTTTCTAGTGTATGAATAACATCATTTAATACATTTAAAACATCATTGGCTGTAAAAATTACTTCGTGGTGTTCTGATCCGATATGTTTTGCCACTTGACGAGCAGCTAAAATATCTGGGCTATCTTCCATACCAATCGAAAATGTCTACAAAAGTAAAAAAATATATGATGACACTGTAATGCAACTAATATTTATTTATTTGGGGAGATTTAATTTTGATAACTTTCATTTTTGCTAGATTTGCAAAGAAAATGATTGTGATAAATTTTATTTGTATTGTAAAAATAAATTATAGTAATAATTATTTTATCATACATAATAATAAATAATTAACTAACACATAAGAGTAAAAGATAATTTTCAAAAGTTTGTCTATCTTAAACAAACTATAAATTATTACAGTATCTTACTCTAATGATTCAAATGAAATGATCTAATTACAATAATTACAATAAGTACTATTTATATATTTTTTATTTATAAATGTCAGATCTCATTTTATTTGTTCAATGAAATTACCAGAGTGATCTAATTATAAAAATATAGTCACTTGAATAGGATAAGGAAGCCCTAGTTCTTTTGATAATTTTACGAGTATAGCTGCAATCAAACTAGAGTCTAAACCTCCAGAGAGCAAACATCCTATACGACGGTTAGACATCATCCTTTTCTTTACTGATTCAGTTAAAAGATAGCGAATATTAGCATGAACAACTTCTTCACTTAAACCTTGATGTGTAACAAAATTCGGTAATTAGTGTATCTATGCTAAAATTAATACATATAAACAAACCTTCTTCGAGAACTGCGGGAGACAATAGTGGTTTTTCGATATTGAAAAATCTATTTAACGATACCATTTTTATTTTACCATCAGACAAGATATCAAACTCAGCTAAGTGACCAGGAGGAAATGGTTTCATTTCCCAATTCGACAAGTTTAGTTCTTTTATCAATCCCGTTAAACCTATTAAATTAAATTAATGTAGTATTTCATAATATAATTTTAATATGTTCGTTTATTGTTATAAATGTTGAATGATTTAAAAGGTTCTTTCAAATCCGAATTATAATTATAAAGTTTATAATAAAGGAGAATATAATAATCAATAGGTATAAAATTTTCTATTTTCCTTTTTAGCTTTGAAGCGAAGCTGAGAAAGCATTAATTTGAACATAATGAGTTTATTTATTTTTGTGTCTGTCATATTTTTAAAAGCTCTCATTAAATCAGATTTTTGTAATGATACGTCAAAGGATCACAAATCCAAAAAATTCCAAAAAAATAACAATTTTTAAAATCGGTGAATTTCGACATTTTATAAACTTATGTTATTTAAAATTGTCATAACTCATTTGAAAATAGATAAATCAAAATAACTTGTATTTTTATATAAATACCTTAGGTATTTCCCTTTTATTTAATGTATTTTTTTAGAAATATGACCCTTTAACTAGTTCTTTAGGGGAGAGATTAAAAAAAGTAACATTTAGATAAAAAGTTAACTATTTCAATATGACTTTTTAAAATGTTCCTGAAATACTGCGAGCTTCAAACATATATTAAACTAAAGCTTAGGTAATATAGTATAAGTAAAAAAATTGTATCGTAGACACATCTACTATATGTAAACGGCACCTGAAGTTAAACAAAAAATATTGTTTTATTATAAAATATTACTGTTTTTCATGTTATTACAATTAATTTTTTCCAACAAATTTTGCTTTTATTTTATGTCAAGTGGTATAATTATAAATGTGGAGGGGCAAGTACACCTTTTAAATCCCACACTTAATAAAAAAAAAACAAATTTAACTATTAGTTAAAGATATTTTCAGATTTTAATGCCAATCCAATAAGTATATTAAAAGACGCATCCCTTTCCAATAAATAATCTAACTACTACAAAAGGTTAGGATGAAATATAAATGAACTAACGTAGATCAGAATAATAAAATTAAAGTTAATTTTTCCCTTTATTTTATAAATCCACATTTACATTATAAGTACTCGTTTGTCATAAAGGTAACAATATATACAATATTACATAAATTTTATAATTTCTCCGTAAAAATTACATGACCAAAATATTCAATATCAATATCTACTAAATTTAATATCTATAATAAGTATTCATGCATTGTACTTATAAATCATAAAACATTTTATTTAAAATTAAAATTATATTAAAAATATTAATTTAAAACTAAAATATATTTAACTAAAATCTTAGTGCGCTGAAAAAATTCATTATTAAAATTGGGTAACTGCCAAAATGAATTAATATTACTTAATGATGAGGTAATCAGAAGTATAAAAGGGGTTTTTTCAGTCGGGGTTTCAATATGTGTTCAGCGTTGATAATAATAACATTGTTCTCAAAATATATTTTAGTAATTTTTTTTTTGGCTAATTTTTGAGTTAAATATTTTTAATATCATTTGAATTTTAAATAATTAGCCACAAGTGATCAATTTTTATTATAAAATCACAAAACAAATTATCAGGATATAATGAAAGAAATAGGAGTTGATGTTTCTTTTAGAATAATTCACAAGTGTCTTAAAATTATTGACTAAGTACAGATTTGCATCGAAGGGTTTATAATAATAGTTATTTTAAACACTTTCAGATATCATCTACACTTGTCCCAACTATGTGGGTATCCCCACTGTACTGGTTTTTGTTAAATAAATTTAGTGAATATAAGTAAGACAAGATAATGTTTTGATTGTGAAATTATAATTGGAGTTACATATTTAGTTATAAAAATAATATTGATGGAAAATTATTTACTTATTAATTTAAAGTAATAAAATAAGATATAATGTAAAAAAATGGCTTTAGTCTTTTGAAATTTTTTAAGCGTTAATTAATGTTATGATGAGTTGTTTGATTTATAAAGAACACTTAAAATTATTTGTTTCTTAGAAAATGTAAAATAAAATAATAATATAAAAAATAATAAAATAAAAAAATAAACTTAACGTTTAAAAAAACTTTGAAAACAGAAATTTAGAAAAAATTATTATTCTCCTATAACAAGACTTATTCAAATAGGAGTTCTACAATCGACTTTTATTATTTTATTTTTATAAATGAATAAAATAAAACTGGTAGTGTGAAAACTAAAATTTTAAACTGTTTGCTTTTTTTTTCATTTTTAGATTGATATTTGAATTATTTTTGAAAGTCTCTAAGGAATGCTATACGATCAAACAGGATATGCAATAAAAACGGGCAACTAGCTCTCTATAATTTCAGGAAAACTACATATATAACTATATAACAAAATTTAGAGAGGCGATGTTAGAATAATGATCCCCCAAAAATTTAGTTAAAATTGTGCCTTTGATCTTAATTTCTAGTTTAAAATTATTATTTGTATAATATTAAATACTGCAATTATTCTATTGTTATAAAACGATATTTTCAGTTGCTAAACTATCATAAAAATTAATTAAAAAGTATTTTTATAATTAGTTGTAAAAATTTAATAATTACAATCAATCATAATAGAAGTAATGAAATTACTGTAATGGTATCATTTTTTGACCTCTATCGTAGTAGTAATCATAAAACTTAGATAAAAAATTGATTCTATCAAATATATATATATATATACATAATACAAATATCCTTCATTTTTTAAATTACCTAATAAATATGAGTGATGTAATGTATATCTAGGTTTCATAAATAAAATGCCACCTTTTTCTGTTGATAATTATAGAATCAAATCAACGTTGTGTCATTTTCAAAAGTTTTTTTAGAACAACTGTTATTTTTAATTGATAACAGTAAACATTAATTATAAATTCAATTTAGCACAACTGACTGCATACGGTAATTTTTGGCTGCCTTACCTTTTCTAAAGTGTGTATAATTTATTTTTAAGCCTAACCCAACAATTATTTTATGGTTGTAAATATTATTATCTATTTGCATTCCATCGACTCAAGATTTATTCTTATATACCCTCAAAATTCGATCTTTTTATATATATCCTATTTCTATCTATCAATAAATAATCGTAATTTATTCTGCTTTTTATTGAAAAAATTACTTTTGGTTTTACTTGCCTCTAACATCTATTACTACCTATAAAATTAAAAAATCGACTAACCTATATTATACATTATAATGTATTAGGATAAAAAATATTAGATAAAAAATCAGCTTGCATCACTATATTTACCGATTCAGGAAATAACTTTTTTGCTCATCAATTTAATTGTTTGAGATAAATTTTACAATTTTGTCAAGCATTACGGGGGTCTCAATGTTATAAATCCTTGGATTTCTTTTTATTATAACAATATAAGCCTCCTGGTTAATGAACTTAAATTATTAGACCCTATAAATATTTTATTAATTATCTTAATTAATTGATTATCTCAAACCCAACATAACCAATCTGTCTATGGATTCATTATAAATATGTTTGTGTAATTGTTTGTTGATCAAATCAATCGATTAAATATTAAATTAATGAATGAAAATGTTAAATTGTTAATAATCATGACCCTAGAACTTTCTCAGTACTCGGCCGCCCTGTCGACCGTTTTTCAGTCATAGGCACAATGATCACCAACCAGTTCTGTATATTAAACTCTATTTTAAATTTTACCAAGATTAATGTTATCTATTAACTATTAAGAACATATATTATGGTCAGTATTTAAGATCTACTATTAATTGCTCTAACCATAGAAGCTATTTAAATATTTTTAAATGGAAATCAGATAATGAGGTTGTAATTTCCCTCCTAACCCTTTGTATAACTCCACTGATCTTACGTTAGATTAAATTTTATTTATAAATGTAATTTATGGATTTAATTCAATTTATATTATGTAATTATTTATTTTATTTTATAAAATAACTTATCTGTAGTGTCTAGTATTCGCCTTTCAGACGATTTATTTGTTTAACTTGCCTAATATGATTGAAATAAATTGAGCAAATTTTTTAAAAGCAACTGTATCAAAATATTATTTTATTTTTTACTCTTTTCTTACAGTACAAATCCATTTGAAATTAGTCATTATTTTTAAGAATATACGATAAAGATTATATTAATTAATACATTTTTTTTTATATGCAATATTTACCTTTAGCTTCAGAAGATATACCGAAGATACCTGTGTCAGATTTGAGATAGAACAAAGGTCGTACTCCATAAGGATCTCTGGCTACAAATACTTTTCTTTTTTGGGAGTCAACTAGGCAAAACGCGTATTCGGCATCCAACTGCTTGACAGTCTCATCAATCCCAAAAGCACCGTAAAGTTGTAAAACACCTTCTACATCACATTTAGTCTCGTACTGAAAACCATGTTGTTCACCAAGCTACAGGTAATGAATGATACAATTATTTGTATTATCTTCATTACAAGATTTTTAGACTCTATTAGAGATTTAATTATTTTATAACTTTTTTAATATTGCTATACCTGTCTCCAGTTAAAAATTTCTCCATTACAAACCATAGACACAAACGGATATTGATGTAGTTTCATAGGTTGCATGCCATACAGACTGTCAATAATAGCCAATCGATGAAATCCAAGACATACATTCTAAAAAACGTTAAATGATCGTAAAGTAAAAAAAAAATTTCAAGATTTTTTAATAAAAAACCAGTGAACTTACTTTGACTTTTAAATCGTATTCGAGTCTCCATGCATCAGGTCCACGATGACTGATTTTTGCAAACGTCTTGTCATACTTGGACAATGACTGAACGTCAATACCAAATAGTGCCCAAATTCCACACATTTTTTTTTTTAAATAATATATGAACTTGCTCTAATAACTAATCGAATTTTGCTTTTAAACACTGAAATATTAAGTTTGTCAATAATACATTGAGTATATTAAGCGACAGTAGCGAATTGGCTTATTACCAGGCAACGTTATTCTCTGTTAACGCGACCTGTATGAGTGAATCCAAAATACATCGTTTTAATTTATATACAGCTAGTTGAAGTTGTGCCAGGCATACATAAAAAAAAAAATCCGCGATATCAATGCGTAACATTGACATTGATCAAATTCGCGCTTTTTTTTTTCTAGTATTCGCTAACGCATAATAAAAAAAAATGTGCTTTTGTGTGTTTATATTTTTAGTAATTTCTACAGATTACAATTGTGCTTACAGTTGTTTGTTAATAATAAAGTAATATTTTTCTAAGTCTTCTTACCAAAGTCCTATATGTATTATAATTTACTTCGTGGATTAAACAAAATTAATTAATTAATTATTTTTGAAATTCCGTAAATAACTATTTAATTATATATCATAAGGTATGAACTTATTTTGAATGATTAAATAAAATATATTTTTTAACGAATTCAGTAAATTTATTTAAAAAAGAATGAAGTTTCTTAATTTGATGCTAACGATGGGTTGTACACAGTACTGTGATTCAGGGCCACGTGTCTTCATATTTATATAGGTCTTAATAAAGCATATACTACAAACATTTAATATTTCGGAAAACATGTTTTGTTAGTTCAGGAACTATTTTTGAAGTCTCTTTCGAGTAATTTACAACAACATATTTTTATTATTATTTTTTAGAAAACGTATTATAACGTCGCTAGTAATGACGTAGAAATGCCGCACAGGTAATTTATGTATTTTTTTTACATAGTATTTTTAATGGTAAATTATTATCAGACGCATAATTATTTAAAGATAATATATAGACGAGGAGTTGACGTTTTAAGAATACAAAACTAAAATTAGATAAAAATAATTAGTACTCGTTTATTATATTATGTTATCTTCAATAGATCCGTTAATATTTATTAATTTACAACATGTTGTTTTCAAGATAGATAAATAATGACGCATGTGTAATTTAGGGTCAATTTATCAATAAACATCAGTATTAATGATTTTAAATGTGACTTACATTATATTAATAATTTATCAATGATAAAATAATGAAAAATATCAGTTAAAGATAATTAAAAAATATTTTTGTTAAAGTTTAGGTATTGTAGGATAAATTGTCTAGGACAAAATACCAGGAATGGATTAAAAATAAAATTTAAAATAGAAGTTTTTAACAATGGAAATTTTTACCTGAAATTAAATTGTAATTATATTTTGGGGAAATGTTATTTTTCTCACTTTAAGTGTTTATTTGTTTTAATAGCAAAATAATAAATCCATTAAACGTTTAAATTATTCGTAAGTGTTTTTTTTTTTAAAGCACTTGTAAATCTTGAGACGATTATAAAGATAATGTTTAAGCACGTTCTGTTTCAATTCATTAGATAGTTAATATGTACAGTAATAATTTCGCTAAATAAATGTTGAGTAAACATATAAATAAAAAAAAGTTTGTTGTATCACTTTTTTTATTAGATGATTTAAAAAGAATATTTGTTCGTTTTAATAATACTGTGGCGTTTAATCATTTAAACGTTTCACTTTCTAAATTAAAATACAAAATTAGGAACACTTAATATACCACGGAAATATTATTTGTAATAATATTGAAAAATTTCAATTTTAAATTTCGTTATATATACATTTTACATGTAAATTTTACTCAGAATTTTTTAATGGTGCCCGTAGAAATTTTTCATGTAAGCAAAAAATTTTTTTTGGTATTTAGTTTCATTGGCCTTTAAACAGGGTTTTTGTTGAAAGGGGTGATGGATTCTCTGCCAGGAAACCTCTCTAATGGCGCAAAAATAAAGGATTATAAATATAAAGGTCCCCAATAAATGCATTAGCTCCTCAGTATATAATGTATTGTATTTATAAATGTATGTATTTATTGTATTTATGTTTAGAGTAGTGAGAAAATGCAATTAGCATCATCAAAAAAATAAATACACCACTGTTCTCTACTTTGACCATATTAATTTAGATCGTGTTAATGTAGCTTAAGCCACGCGCATTTAAACAAGTAAAATACTTAAATATTTTAGTATAGTCACGGGGCGGTAAAAGTTTTTAAGAGTTATCAATTGATTTTTCAACAATTTTGGGAAGGCCAATTTTAATTATCTACATTTATACTTTTTAATCACTTCAGTTATCATTCAGTAGAAATTTACATTTAGGCTTGAAACTTAAAAATGTGATTTAACTGAGGTTATTGTACTGGGGAATTTAATCTCTTTTAAAACGAAAAATATTTTTATGTTACTGTGTATTACAGTAACAATTAGGATCCTTTTAAAATTACATACGCAAAATGTATAAATGCCTATTTATTAATAACACATAAATGAAAAAGTACTATGATTTTGATTAATAATGTATTTATTGCAATATGATGATCCCGAAAAAATGAATTCTGTTTTGTCGTATGTACGTTTGTTATTATTAACTCACGTAATTCGAATTATTTTAGTAATTAAAGGAAAATACTTAAAATTTTTTATCATTTATTATTTAATAATTCTGTGTATATAGATTTTTAATATATGCGCCATACTTTCCTTGAGATACAAGGAAATAATGGATAATATAATACATGTGCTCTGTCATATTTGTTTACTACCTGTTATCATAATGTTAAGCAATAATAGATGTATTGGTGTCCACTTGTCCAGTGTTCATTATGTATTATAATAATTTGTTGTTTATTAATATAAACGGAAAAATAACATCTGTCAGTATAATTTAAAAATATGTTTTTATTTTCTGAGTCAATTTTTCAATACAAATAACTAATATAATATTATTTATATTTGTATAATTCTGATCTATCTACAGATAAATAATTTTGTGTTGATCTTTAAAAAATCAAGATATGTTTTCAAAAGAATTTTGTATAAATAAAAAAAATTAAAAACTTATATTTATATAATCCCAGTTGTACAATGGAAGAATTTAAAGTTTGTGAAAATGAATCCACCAAGTAATTTTGAAGTCATAACATTAATAGTATATTCAATTAATTTATAAATTATGAAAATAAAGGGTAAAACTCCAAGGATTAGATCTCATTTTAAAGTCAATAAACTGTGAAAATTACAAGTCTAAATTTGTTGAGTATGGAATTGATGAATATACTATGCTTTATCTTACTGCATCTGATTTAAGACAATTGGATGTCAGCGAGTGTGATATACCAGTAATTCTTTCTGCTATTAGTGTTTTGAGTAAAACTTCAAATTATTCAAAAGTAAAATTATCGTAAGTGCAATTTAAGAAAAACATTTTAAAAGTTTTTATGTTTTTAATTAAATAGTTGAAAAATTAATTAATAGAATGCTCAATCATTCAGTTAATATATACATGTATATATATGATGATTCACTTATCAGCCATTTATTTAATCGAGAATTAAAATAATATTGAGATTTTTTTATAAATAATACTTTATGATAGATAAATTGAGAAAAACAAAAAGAGACTAAAACAAAAAAATCATTATTATTTTTTTTCCACTAATTAAGTAGTTTATGATAAATGAATTATTCTGCATTTGTGGCATATATGAAATGCTAAATAAGTAAAAAAACAATAACAAAATGTGAGTTTTGAGAATTTTTTTAACAATTTGTAATAAGATTTAAAATTAAATAAATAAAATTTATTATATAATTTGTATAAAAAATAATTATTTGTTGTATATTATAATAATATGAATCAATTTTATCAATAAAGTTTATGTATACACTTTAAATACAATGATTATGTTTTAAGTATTATTGAATTTATACATTTGTTTTTCACCTTTGAAAATGACTAAAATTGATATATCAGTTTTAGAAAATAGCTTTTGAATTATATATGTATATATATATATATTACATGTATTTATCATTATTATTATTTACATATAGGAGAAATAAGTTACATTAATATAAATAGCAGTGACATAACCAAAAAACTTATTACCCGTTCATTGACCAATTGTTATTATTAGCAGTATGAGTGTATATCACATACAATAAAAAAAAATCCTTAATTATACCTAAGCAAAAATCTTCGCTACACCATTGGTAATTATGGTATAATTTAGCTGTAGAATATATAATGGGAAGTTACAATTTATCATTATTCATCATTGAGGTTAAAGGGTTTGTAACATATTAATTGATAAACTACTGATTAAATATATATTTGTCCTATCATTTTTTAATAATTTAATTATCTTTTAAATATTGAAATTATTAAATCACGTTGTGACACCCTGTGTAACTTTATTTTTATTGGAATACATAACTTTTGTTCCAGCATTGGTATCTTCAGAATGACTCAAATAAAATAAATAAATTTTACAACCTTTCCTAAAAAATTAAGATAATTAAAATCTAATTCATATGTTAAAAATATTAACTAAAATTAAGCCGTTTTGAACCATTAATGCAAAAAATATTTTATCTACTTACTGTATTATTTGTTTATGATTAATTTATTAATTGTAGTAGTGTATTTTACTATTATTAGAAATGAAGAAATTTCAAAACTTCAATCAAATATTTGTGGACAGCTAGGATCTATAGCTATTGCCCTAAATTACATATATGATACACTTTCTTCAAATCCCTATGAAGATAAATTGATAGATGATTACCTTTCAACAATAGATGCTGCGACTATGCTTAAACCTTATTTAAGAAAGGAAGAAGATAGTGTAAAAAAAACTTTAAAATCAGTTTATAAAGTAATATATGAAATTTTTTTTAATAGGCATAATATATTGCTTGAAATGTTTACAGATGTACTAACATTTTCAGTTATAATCTGACATTTTCATTGCAAAGTCCATCTTCAGAGCAATAGTTACAGGCTCGTGGTTGTAACTGTACTGTTTGAAGATGGACTCTGCAACAAGTCTGAAATGTCAGCTTATAACTGAAAACGTGGATACAACAGTAAACATTTCAAGCAATATGATAATCCACGAAAGCTTTAACACAGGCATAACATATTTTGCGACTAATAGCTACAAACAATTTTACCTTGCTATATTATTCTCAAAGGCATATTTTGAAATTTGTTATTTCAAATTTATTTTGATATTCTCGATATAATCAAAATTTTGTTCCTTAAGCATAGAATTTATTTAAAGAAACAATAAAAAGTTACATAGAGCAATATAAATAACAAGTTTTGATTAATTATTTAAAGTAATAGATGTAAGAACATTTAAATTAGATAAATAGTTACTTTTTTATATAATTTTTATTTTTGTCATTATTATTTTTTAATTTAAATTATTTTTAACATTTTAAACTTCATTTATAACATATATGATTATTTTTCATTATATATAATAATAAAATAATAATTTTAAATCATAAAAATAGGGATATAAGTTATAATATACCAAATTTAGTTCATAATAAAAATGATTTTGTACCTTACTGTATTACATGTCCAGTTTTAAATATAGAAATTATATTAATTCACAAGTACTTATCTGAAAAGTATTACCAACCAATAAGATGTTTTATAAGAAAATCACAATAAAAAGCCATCTTAAAAATTTTATATGAAAAAGAATGTATTAATTTTTTATTAAATATAAAAAAAAAGTTCTTTAAATGTATTCATTACAAAAAAAAGTATAATATATTAAGTAGATCAAAAGTTGAAAGAGTTCTAAACCAGAAGTTTTTCACCTGTATTATTATCGATTGTAATATTATATTATATTTCTACAATTAATAATATTATGACTTAAGTTTATTAATATATATATATTTTTTTTTAAATTTGATTTTAGACAAGAAATGGAAGAAAAACTTTTTTCATAACAGCAACAACTTGCACAGTAATATTATGTGTGATTACTTTTGGTTACATAAAATTTGTAAAGAGAGAAATCCCATCAATAAATATTTGGCTTAAAAGTTCTATTTACTTACCTAAACTTAATCAAATTAAAATTTGGAAATTTTAAGCAATAAGTTTTATAACATTCCTCATTACTTAATAATTATATATTATTTTTGATGAAAAAAAATATACTTATTAATAAAAAAAAATAGTTTTATTTTTTATTCTAAATTTATAAATATTATTTGATATTATTAATATAAACCATCTTTTGTAATTTAATTTATTTTATTTTTTAAGTTAACATTTTATTGCATACTGAAAATGGCTGTTATAAACATCCACTATACAAATACTTTGTCTCTCTCATCAAACAAAAATACACAATTGAGCCTGTATTAAAAATATTGTTCTCCTAAAGGTTTTATTTTTACTCATCACTTTATGAATTATATTTTCAGAATATAGTCTTTCAGTTCTTACATGCCAGCCATCCATAAGCCATCGCTTAAAGTGGGACATTGTAAACTTTGAAATAGTTTTGAAGTAAATTAAAATGGTGGTTTTGTTTATTAACAATAGAATATATCTATTTATGGGAGTTAAGACCTTTTTAAAATAAAAAAATTAAAAAGAGCTCTCTATATTTATTATCTAAAATACATTTTTAATAGTCAATATTTTTTTGGTTCATGTTTGTTCATTTGAAAAAATTAGATGAACATCTTATAGAGTCTATTCAGATAATTTTGTATCTTTTTTGGCTTCTCCTCTGTTAAATATTTTACAAAATTTGTACCAATGGATCTTGTACTGCATTGACTCCCTTCTGGAGTCTGGTAAATATCTTTACTTTTTTGTCAAGTAGCTCAACAAAGATTTATAACAAATAAAATAATTACATATATGATAACACTAATATTTTTAAAGAAAATTCTTGAGACATAAATAGTCAATCACTATGTACATAGAGGAAATTGAATAATTAAAATTCTGATTATTTTTTTAATTTTGACATGATTGGTCGAATATTTTTTTTAGATCGTGAATAGTATTAGTATATCAGATAAAGAAATGTCAATAAATTTGTATTTATCTATAAATGAGATATTATTTGAAATATGATTTATTGTTGCATTCTTATTTATTTACTACTTATTATGTTAAAATATATTTGTTAAAAAATTGTTCCTTAAAAATGATTATTTTATTTTTTAATGTTAACTTTTATGTAAAAGTATTAATATACAAAATATTTTAACATAAAACAAAAAAAATAGGAATATTTTTAAGCGATAATACTCGAAAAACGTAAGGTAATTTTAATATTTTTTGTTTTCATAACAAAGCTTGATTAAAAAAATAAAATCAATAAGGTGAAATACAAAATTTTCCCAAAAAAATATTATTAAAAGGTACCTTTTTACTTTAAGCAATAGGATCCATTAGCGCAACTAGAGAATTGCAGGGTGTTTAGCCCGTTAGTTATATATTAGATTCTTTAAAAAAATAGAAATTAATAAATTTTACTTAAAAAAATATTTTTTAAATGGGTTAAATTTATTGACCCTTCTTTAATTTATTTATTTTTGCGATTAGAAATCTTGTAAGAAATCTTCGGGGCCTATATTTACCTAAGGCCAGCTCTGATAATCATTTATTTAAGCTCATTTTATTTACGATATATCCCCCATCAAGATGAAAGGTATAATAATAAAGAAGTAGACCCCCAGCTAAGAGATCCATGTTGATTCCACATGGCAACACACTGATGGGCATTCTGCTAAAAAAGAGTGATACAAATTTAATACGGTGACACGGATGTTAAACAGTTTAAGTGCAACGTAACTCTAGATGAATAATTTTTATGATAAGATTTTGTTTTAGTTACATCAATTAGATATTAAATAATTTGCAAGTTGAGAATGTTGCATGTATAAATTAATTTTATTCGAAAATATTTGATTTTTGTTCATCAAATGTAACAGTATGATAGTTAACAACGACCAAGAATCGCATTGTTTTTGCAAGTAAAATTTATTTATTTAATTATACTATACAGAGTGTTCTATGAGGTAATGACAAATCGCCATTACAAAATTATATGGATTTGTCAGAAACTCGAGGGATACCTATATTTACCTAAGTAAATAATTAATTAAGTTTAATTTATTTAAAAATTTATTAATTTTTTTGTTTATTACAATTTTTTCTATACTCTAATATTTTTGAATTTATTCTCGAATTGTCTGTTAAATATGTCTGTTTTCATTTTCATAAATTTATTTAGACAATTTTTATTTTTAATTGATAACAATAAAAATTGATTATCTTCTTTTTCTTTTTTCTCGTCTTAAGAAGAAGAAGAATAATGAAATTGTATTATCAATTATTGATTTATTGTTCTTTGGGACTGTCTGCATAAGATAATTATTCGTTGCCTTACCTTTCCCGAATAATGCGTAATTTATTTTTAAGTATAAGCTAACCATTATTTTATTTTCTAGTGCCCCATCGTTTGTAAATCCATTCCTATTTACCCTTACAAATGAATCTTTTTGAATAAACGTGATAATTTTTTATTTATTAATAAATAATCAGAATTCATTCGGGTTTTTATTGAAAATATTACTTTCAATATCAATAATAACCTATATTATACATATGTATAATAATATGTATTTTTTCAAATAAATTATATGTTTGAAGTCTTAAAATTAGTGATGGGAATTATCGAATAGTAACTATTGAACTATTCGATAGTTAATGCTAAAAATAAAAATGCTATGCTAAATTTTATGCTAAAATTCGGTTGCATAAAGAGAATTAGAAAATTTATTCGTTAGTTTAAAATATTTGAAAATGCCCATCACTAATTTTTACTATTATTAATTGTATAATAATTTATTTTAAGTATTCGTTAATTATCTTCTTATTATAATTAAGTGTACATAATAAAAATTTTAGATAGAACTAATCTAATATTTTTTAAAACCATTCGAATAATTTTTAAAACTATTCGATAGTCTATTCGAATAGTTTTAAAAACTATATTATTACGCAAGATATGAATATATCTGTGGCAATTATGTGCTGATGGGGAATCCAACTAGGTACGTGCACAAGCCCAAAGAGGATGTCTTGGGGTTGACTATTAGTAACCGTAATGGGGTTCCAGCTATGGTCATAAATAGATACCGCCGATTCAATGCCTATTTAAGAGTCCTGAACAAGACAGTAGATGACTGTCTCGGTGTTACTAGGGAAGGGTTAAATAAGGGGTATTCGGATCGCATCACTGGGGTTTGTAAATTTATACAAATAATTAATATTCAATATACAGGGTGTTCAGTAAGTCAGGAAATGGGTTTCTATTTTTCTCATTGTTTGTAACACTCTGTATATTATTACCTAATACTTATATACATAAATAATAATCAATAAATATGATTTTATTTTTTATTTAGTATTTAGGATTAAAAAACAGAACTTTTAAATTAATGTTTTGTACACTTTCTAAAATTAAATTTTTTTTAATTTGGTAAATTTACAATTAATATATAAATTCAATTAAAATCGAATACAAATGCAACTATCTCCAGTTGTTTAGTAGTAGTTAATTTATGATGAAAATATTGAACCAAAAGTTTTATTTAGTATTTAGGATAATATTTTATCTTCAACATCAAGTCTTACATGAAATACATATTTTACATGGCATCTATGTAATACTAGGAATATATCTAAAGGATGCTTCTTAAAATATTAATTATAAGCCAGGTTAAATTTGAACATTATAATTATTATTGTAATTAATATTATTATTACTATTACTACTATTGTATTACTGTAGATGGGAAGGTTGTAATTCATATTTGAACAAATTAGAATTAGCAAAGCATGTACTGAATCATATGATTCCAGGACCACTAGGGTTGTTTTATTGCAAATGGAAAAATTGTAATAGAGGTGGTAGAGCTTTCAACGCTAAGTTAGTAGTTTCATATTTTTTCAAATTTCTCTTAAGAGAATACTCGTCAATTTAAAATTATTATTTTAGATATAAAATGTTGATACATATACGCACGCATACAAACGACAAGCCATATCAATGTTATACTTGTGGTAAAAGTTTTACTAGAACAGAAAACCTTAAGATACATGCTCGGACTCATACAGGTAGATAAATTTTAATAGAACTAGTGCCAAATTTGTAAATATACTCACAAATCTATGTACAACCGATGACGTGTCCAGGGGTTAATCTTCCTACAGTAAAAATAATTATGCGGTTATTATAAAATTTTAAATGAATAATAAATATATTTCTTACGTTTAATCCCCTATGAAATATTACTGTAATTGTATAAAGTAATGATGATAAGTATTCATAGGAGAAAAACCGTATGTTTGTTCGGTAAATGGATGCAACAAGGCGTACTCAAATTCCAGTGACCGTTTCAAGCACACCCGAACACACTTCATTGAAAAACCCTATGCTTGTCGAGTAGACAACTGCATGAAAAGATACACAGATCCGAGCTCTTTGAGGAAACATGCTAAAAGTCATAACCAACAAATTAAAACAAGTACATTTATTGACTTATAATAGCTAAAAGTTAAATTTTAACATTATATTCATAAAAGACTGTTTAACATCGATTTAATAAAAACATGTCAATTTTAATTATCGGCTGTTTTCTAACATATTCTTATAAATAAATAATAAATATTAGATAATAATGGTTATTAATTAATTTTTTATGTTTTCAGTTCAAGATGCAAATCAAAACCGATGTTCATCACGAGATCCTATAAAATTTGTTGAATCTGATGACGAACCGCTGGATTTGTCGAAACGGTTGAATAAAAAATAGTATAAACCATCATTACAACATTTAATTAAATAAATGCATATTAGTAGAGTTATATTAAACATAGAGAGTCAATTTTATAAATTTAATTCTTGTTTACTTTTTTCTTTACGAATTTTTTGAATCCGTCAATCCGAATCACGGTTTAAATCTATTAATTCATAAAATAATCATTTTATTATGCAAAATAAATATTAATTACTCAACATCTATAATTAACTCATTGGTATTAAATTTATTTCATATTGCAAATAGTTTTGACGGATTTAAATAATAATCCGTTATCTGGATTAAATAAATTTAATTAGGATTACGGATTTACCAAAAACGAACTAGGATTTAGTTTCATCTCGGAACGATATACAAAAGAAATTTTCTTACTACTTGTTCCAAAATACATCATTTTCATACATTTATTTTTTTATATGGGATATAGAGGATAAAATTCTCTCCGTCAAAATGCTCATGCCCAATAATAAAAGCTGTGGCTTGTAATAATCACATAAACTTAATTAAAAACACAAAAATATGTTTCATTGTTATAAGCTTTGACGTATAATTAATATTTGTTTAAAAAAACCAAATTATTTTTTTTATTTTACTCGGTGAAAGATAATATGACGAGTGTCTTTGGTTTTTTAAGATATAAGAACATAAGATTTAGGTGGCTTGTTTAAGTAATGTATTCCCTAAAAAAATCAATAGGGCGCAACCATGTGAATATCAGAATAGTTTTGTTTTTTATGGGTAACTTATATTTATAATAAATAAAGAAAGAAATTTAAAATAAAAATGGATCTGAAAGATTTTTTTTTATTTACTGTAATCAGTTTGGCATTTATACCTGTTGATATATATTTTTTATTAAAATAACACTTAACACTGATTAAACGTAATCACCTAGAAAAACAACAGTTAGCAAAGCAATTGACTTATAAAAAAAAAAAAAAAAATACTAATTTCAATGACCTAGCGTTTATCTCTATTATAAATTATTTATTTTTTTACTGTTCTGAATTTGATATCTATAAGTGCACTTGGCACGCGTACACTTTCTAAATCATAACAACTATATTATTATATTTAGTTCTTTTACACTATTATAAAACATACTTAAGAATTTAGGCGCATTCATTATATTCAAATTTTATCTTGAGAGCAATAAATTTTACTAGACTAAAGAATAAATATTATTATTCTTTTGTTAATTCAGAAGCACCGGCGTTCACTCATGTATAATTTTATCAGCTTTGTGACTATTCTTCTCAGTAAACAGCGTACGTTGATGATTAATTAACTTCTATAATAATTATTATTAATAGAACTTCGATAAATATTTAAACTAAGTTTAATGTTATCCATGTTTTTGGATAACATTAATTATAATGATGTTATTTGATATAATTAAGGTTAACATTTATTTATTTGAAGAGAGAAAATTATGTTGTAAATATTTTTTGGACAATAAATTGTCGGTAAATTCGCTTTGCTACTTTAACTGGGATTATTTACTTCTTTATTTTTAGGCTTAAAAATATCATATTTTTCAATTATTTTAAAAAAGTTAGGCACGTAGCCAAAAAATTTTTATTGGGAGCCAGTGGTGGATATAAATGACTTTTAAGAGGGGGCGAAAAGATAAATGAAAAATCATAGGATATTATTTAGAGATCATCTATTACTAATCCAATGATGCAAATTTAGGAATATTAAGGCACTCTAAATACTATTCTCAAGCTATAAAGTAACACCTTGTTTATTTTGTTAATTTTTTGATTATTTCTAAGCAAAAATTATGGTCGTGAATAAAGATTCAAGCATTTCTAAGATTTAAACTGAATGCACACATATAGGTTTTCTCGATATTTTAAAAATAATTACACATTTAAATTGAACTTTTACTTTGAAACTGAGAAGGTTTTACAATGATATGTTTTGTGATATTTCGTGTCTGACTATATAAATGATACCAAATACTGGACCGATTTTGATAATCTATACATCAAAAGTACCAGATTTTACATTGAATAACCTCCCAATAAAAAAAGAAAAAATTAATTTAGAAAAGTATTTTAAAATTAGTCAGTAATTAAAAATTAGAAAAATCATAAATTTTTCTGCGTTTTAAAGTAACAATACATTTTTATTAAAAAGTAAAATTTACATGAAATTGTAACACAATATTAAAAATAGTAAGATTTCTTTAATATGCTATTCATAAAAATCCTAACTTTACTAAACTAAAGCTTATAAAGTAAACTATAATATTTTAAACAGCGGACAAAAAAATTCTATCAGGAAAAATTGGCTGGCAAAACAAAAAATATATAAATTTTTATAAAAAATACTGCATTTTTAATGAATTTTGAAAATGTTCTAGAATGTCTAGAATTCCGCAAACTATATCAAATAAAAACAATAAAACTTGTATAAATCGTCATTCTTAAAGAGTTTCCTATCAAAGCTATTTTATGACTGAGATGTTAATCATTGTTAGGTGTCACCTTGCTTGTTCCAACTCGTCTTCACTATGCTGGATTGCTTTTAACTTGATGCGAAACTGAAAATGTATTAAATTTAATGAGTTTTTTGTATGTCCGTTGCCACATTTTCTCAACACTCACGGGACCGATTTCTTTTAATAATATGTCAAAAAATCACATAGTCGAAGACATTACCCTCAAAAATTGAAAAAATTTCCCTCGTTTCTCGTAAATGGGGGAAACCTCCAAAAAAATTAAAATTTAAAAATTGGTAATTTTCGAAATTTTTTCAATTTTTTTTACTTAAAACTGCCATAACTTTTTCAAAAAAGAACAAATCAATATAATTTTTTTTTTTATAGATGCTTGATGTCTTTACCTATCATATAGCCTTAAATATTGAAAATTTCATTGTTCCCTGTAAATGAAGGAAATTGCCCAAAAAATTATTTGTTTAGACCAAATAGTTTTGCAACAAGCACTTCAATTTTTACTGACGTTTTCCATAAAAGTAACAAAATGTACAACTACTTTATAATTTCTCTGTAAAATTTTCAATATTAAATCATTGAATATCAATTTCATATTAAGATTTATTACATTAATAAAAACTATAAATTACTAAATATTTTTTAATATATTATTCTTATAATTGAGTGGACTACTAGTCAGGATATAGTTAAAGAAATAGGAGTTAATGTTGCTTTTAAAATAATCCACCAATGTCTTAAAATTATACACTAAGTACAGATTTGCATAGAATCGTTTAATATGATAGTAATTTTAATCACTTTTAGATATCATCTATACTTGTCCTAACTATGACACGTCTCCATTGTGTTAGATTTTTTTTATATTTTATGTTATGTGCATTTTTATGATAATAACAGTATCTAAATTAGGCTAAAAACTTTTTTACTACAATATTTAAAAAAGAATTGGACCAAGAGCATTCGCTTATTTTCCCTCTCATATAACCGAAACTGAACAATTCTTTTATTTGATATATATATTTTTTAAATTTGACTATTTACCGCCCACTGGGAGGATTCAAAATAGCAACTTTTTTAACTTATCTTTGAAAATGTTCCGGAAATACTGTGTTTTTTAAATAAATGTTAAATTAAAGCTTATGATACGTACTACAATTTAAAAAATAATTTGTCCCGATGACTTATTTTATATGTGCAAATGGCCGTCGAATTCGAACAAATGTATTAATTATTTATTCTTATATTATATTTATAAATTGCAAAACTTGTAAATGTGATATAAATAAGGAAATAGGAGTTCATTTTGCTTTTGGAATAATCCATCAATTTATTTAAATTAAACATTATCTACAGATTTGCATCGAAGCATTTCTTATGATAGTGATTAAAATCATTGTCAGATATTATCTTTATTTGTCCCAACTATAACACATCCACATTGTGCTGCGATTCTTTTTATCAGTTTTATTTTACTATATTGCCTGTTTATCTCTCATTTATTTTAAATAACAGAAAAAGTATGTTCAAATGTTTTTAGCTAAAATATTGATTTCGACATTGTACATTGAAACACCAAACTACTTCACGACTTGAGTGGCCAAGAAAAAGTTGATTATCTTCCAGTAATTGTCTCAATTCAAAATAAAGAACAACTTCTTGGTGTTCCACAAATTCTATCAGGAAAGGGTAGCGAAATATCATCGACCGTATATGATTTTTTAAAAAAATAGACATTATTTGACAAAGTACAAGATGTTAATATTATTTATTTTGCATGTAGATATCATGTTGATTATTGAAGCTGCATTTAACGAGACAAAATAATATGTATCGTTTAGACCAAATATTTCTATTTTTAAACGTTTAAAAAATACATAGAAATAAATAAATAAAACAAGCGTATTAATTTAGAATACAAATTATATGTTTGAGAAAATAATCTCGCCATTACGTCATGATGTTTTGCAAACAAAGAATTGCTGAAGACCATCCTTGAGATGATTAAAATTAGAGAAACTACATCTGGTTGAGTAAAAATTGGTCAACCTGTAGCATGCCACCAGACAAGATTGATGAAAAAATGAATTTACTGCCTCGAAATATATTTTTTGCGTTGTGAATTAAAAATATCAAAAACCGAAAAAATGTTATAGTGCAAATAAGTGCATTTATAATTAAAAACTATGTTATGTATTGGTACACCGGTTACTAATGTTAGTCATGCTCTACTTAATGACATTAATATGGTACGTACTTTAAATAATTACAGAATTGATGATAGAAAATTTGCAGATGCGTATTTGCAAAAGTGTTTAAACCATTTACGGTATCAGAATGAAGAATGTATTGTATTTGCTATATTTAATGAAATATGTCCATTAAAAACCAAAAAAGATGGCTGATAAGCTCATAAAGAACAAATGAAAATATTCCCAGGAATAGAAGATGAACTTTTATTAGAAACAAAAATTTTTATTTAAAAATAGAGGACGTGGATGAATTTTTGGATAAAGAACTTCTAATTAATTTATTAAGTTGTAAATCATTTAATATAATCATATTATTTAAAAAATTAAAAATATCTTCAAGGAACCTACAAACTACTAGAGTAATAAAATATTTTGAAATAATGTCATGATAATCTATTTAATTAATTTTTTTATTTTACAACTAAAATATGAATTAAATAATTATAATATATATAATAATCATATTGTATTGTAATATATTACATATATAATAATATAAAAAACAATTACAAAAACGTGATTTGAAAATAACAAAAACTAACATTAAATTATTTGATATTAAAGCGACCTTTTACTGATTTTCTAACGTTAATTTTTACATGTTACACTTTTTTCTTAAACTTAAAATTTGTACAGTGTATTTCCCTCGTTTACAGTAAATGGGGGAAACCTCCAATAAAAATAAAATATAAAAATCGCTAATTGAAATTTTTTCAATTTTTTTTACTTAAAACTGCCATAACTTTTTCAAAAATGAACAAATCAATATAATTTTTTTTATAGATGCTTGATGTCTTCACCTATCATTTGGTATATTTTTTTATAAATTTGACCCTTTACCTGCCCACGGGGAGGGATTTAAAGTGACAACTTTTTCACAAAAAATTTACTTTTGAAAGGGTTCCGGAAAGTCTGACACTTTTATATATATCTTAAATTAAAGCTAATATAATGTACTTTATTACAGAAAAAAAAAAAAATTTCGGACTTAATTTTTGTCTTCACGGTGAAAACAGACAGCAAAATTAATAAAAAAAATCCAGCACAGGGGGGTTGGGGCACAGTGATGACGTGGCATAGTTGGATCAATTATTATGATATCTGACAGTGATAAAAATCACTATAAAAAAACAACGCTTCAAAGCAAATCTTTAGATAGTGTTTAATTTTAAAAAATTGGTGGAAAATTTCAAAAGCTACATGATCTGCTAGTTCCTTATTGATATCCTGATTAAAATAAAGTATGTCGAATGAAAAAAGGATTATTAAAAAATATTATTTTTCATAAAAAATTTGTGTTGATTCATACACTTTTCAATAAGTTATAACAGGGATGGGCAACTCAAAGTTACTAGAGGGCCAATTTTTAAAAAATTAAAATCTAGCGGGCCAGAGCATAGAAAGCAAAAAAAAAAGGTCATTCAAAATGTATATTTTAATTAGAATTTTTTTTTTTGTAATAATACAAAAAGGGTTATTAAAATAATTTAATTAAATATAAATAGATATTTGTTTAGTTTTGAGCATATATGGCTTCTAGTGACAACGCGGAAAAATCGGCTTCTATTTCGGACGAAGAAACACGAAGTAGGTGACTTAATGTTCATCTGTAAGTCGATTTCTAAATGTAAGTAGTCCAAACATGAATAACATTTTTAATGCGAACTCTCGAGTTTTGACCAATTTTAATGAATTTGGATCAGTGTGTGATCGGTACTGTGTAATTTTAGAACTGAATGTTTTGAGCGATTGGGGTTTCTTTAGTTCTGCGAAAATCAAATTGTACACCTAAAGTCGGCTTGCGTTGACTAAAACGAAAGACGCAAAAGGTTTTTTTGTTTGAGAAAAAGGTCCTATGATTTCTAGCACTAACCCTGCCAGTGCCGCAATTACCGAGAATGAACCCCTGGGCCCTGTTTAATCACAACACACGTCAAGGTATTTTTCATATAATATGCCATGGGCCCGTTAATATTGTCTTGCACACACACCGAAATATACCAAGTAGCCACCGAGTTGGTTAAAATGCTAATTTAACGTAGAAAGCACTGCCGAAATAAAATTTAAGTGCCAAAGTCTCACAAACTTAGGCATGTGATGACCCCGCGTCCCTTTTTGGCCCTCGCGTGACGTAACGTGGCGTGCTGCCGATAGCGTGCGGATGCGCGTTAAATTAAAAACGGCAAGCCACGGCGGCGGCGTATACATTGAACGTTCGTGGCCCGTAAACGATCGAGTGCCACCGCCGTCGTCCAGCATTTGTTGTGAGCTGAAACTGTAATCAAGACCGGGTTGAAATGCAATTCTTCGAGTACATTGGTAGTCTTTTAGTGATCGACTGATACGCTTTTGTTCGGAAAATTAAATTGAGATGTTGTTAATTACGTATTTACTTTTGTTCGGACCTTGTTGGCTGCTGTCGCGATCGCCTTCTTCGTAGCCGGATGTATTTATTTTTAGATCCGTCAGCCGTCGACGCCGTATACAAATAATATATTATCGTTGACGCCACACGGAACACACGGGATAGATATAATGGCCGAGTGATGATATATGTTTTTCTTTTTTCAATGACCTCGTTAACCTTTTACGGATTATACGTTAAAAACACGTTTTAGGATTGACGACGCGTGGAGTGATCGAACCTACCAAGCTGGCCCATCAGTTTTGGCTCGGTTGGGGTTCGGGCTCTGGCTCGTGCCGTGCGCAGACAGACGAGGAAAAGAAGGAGAAAAAAGAAATGGCTGAAGCCGCGGCCAGGCACGAGCTTTATACGCAACAGCAGTGGGCCCATCAACGGGCCGAGCGAGCCGAACGTAACGCCGAAAGACTGGAGAGAGAGATACAGGCACAAGCTGCGTCAGCGGCCGCGTCAGAATCGCTGGCTGAACTACACTACGCCGACAGCCTGTCTGGATCAGTGCAATCTATGTAAGCGCCTCTATTTTATTATCGTTATCACTCACCTTTCGATAATATTAATCATGGAGGTATTCTCATCGTTTTTTTTTACAATATTTATATAAATATCACACGAGTAATTCCTCATTAGTGAATAGTAAATGTGTCTAAAATAACAGGTTGTATAACAGGTGTACGTAACTAATTATAAAAAAAGTCCGTGGGCGGGCGCTGCTTTTACCACCGACCTCTCGGTCGACAAATGAAGCAGTGCCGAGCTTAACGTTTAAGTTTTAACGTACCAGTCGGTCTCGGTCGCCGAAAGCTCGATCACTGTCGCATCAGCCGATCAATCTTTTAAGTTTTCTGAGTTTGTGCCAATCGGATTGCGACAAGCGTCGCACAGGCGCGTTAAGCAGTAGCCAGTATTCGAGCGACGGGGCTATCGCCGGGTTTTGCCCATCGCTGTCATACGCATTAGGGCCGCGACACGCGCGCGCGCCCCCGTCACTATTAACGACAACAAAACAATAAACTAGTAGTTGAAAAGTAAAGACGCCTCTTACTCAGCGAATTTTTTTTTCCCGTGGCTTACAAATTTTGGACTTTTCGATATTTCAAAGGCTTTGGTTAGGTACAACTGAAATCATGTTGTTTCAATTTCCCGTTAATGACGGTAGCAGTAGTGGTGGACCACAAAGAACCGCAGGTGGATCTTGTGGAAAAGATGATTCCCAACAGTCATCTATTTACAGGTGAGTCGTAGGGGCCTTTTGAACTTACTATATGTTTCACTGTTAGTGTACGCCGCCTTAGGCGCCGAGCAGTCTGCCACAAACTCAAGAAATCAATAACCTATTAGTATACATACAATAAAACACAAATTATAACTTGTATCGAATTAATAAGAATTGACATTTTTTGTTTATTTATAAGACTATCTAAGGTTTAAATACTATTTTTAATAAATACCTTTAACAATAGGATTTTTGAGTCGGGATGAAATTTCGTTAGTGTAATTGGTAAGTTCTTTTTAAGTTATAGTTTAATATTATGTTTAATCATTATGACCAAATGGGAAGAAAGTGTAGGGTAAAATGCTCAGATAGGTTTTTAGATATCTTTTGAGAGAACGATTAAATAAAAAAAATTTCGTTGTAATAATCACTTCGAGTTTCTTCCTATTTCAAGAATTCTGTTTAATTAATTAATATTTCATATTTTTGGACAGTATTTCAGAAATAGTTAGTGGTTGAGAGCTGCTCGCGAAAAATTGAAATATTAACAGTATTAATAACACCTATCTGATAAGATCCATAATTTTTTTTTGAACTTTAATAAGTCTTTTGATGAGTTTCGTAGTTTTAATATTTTACTAAAATTTTAAAAACTAAACACAATGAAAAGTTCTAATGTAATGTGTTAATATATAGTGTATGATGAATTATTTTTTATAAAGTTACAATAGTTTTTGACATAAGTTCGTCTAGTTGGGCAATGACAAATAATTTACTAGTTATTTTGCGGTTTTAAAACAATACTTGTTAAGTTATTACGTTGAGGGCTTGTCGATCTAGGGATCTATTTAGAGGTACAGCAATTGTGTTTGCCCGGTATGCGTTAATGTACTTGCTGAGACGTTAAATGGCAACATATTGTTCTAAATACGTCAATTGCAATTAAACGCCCTAATGTGACCAAAGCCGCTGCCTTATTCAGACGCCAATTACAAGTACGAGTGCTTATATTATTGCCATTAAACACGTAGTTCCAACTCTTAGGATTGTCGATTATTTTTAGAATTGATGTTAATGGCTTTTGGCCGGTTTTGGACTCTATTGTTGTATTGATCAAAGTGTATACGATTATTTAGTAAACATTTTATCTGAATTATCAAATAATCGGCAAATGACGTTTTTTAAATTTTACTGAAAAGTGAAAATTGTGTTCTATGATTATCGTTGAAATATTTTTTATTATGTATAAGCAGCCCAAAATTCATAAATATATTGTTGACAGATGCAAGGCACCGATTGCCAGTTTGGATTGTATGGCAGACTTGGGCAGCACCACAGAGCAGCTGTGTGCCAAGCTACAAGCAGCCAACAGCAAAGATTCGGCAGATCGTGTCTGTTCCACTCTGTCTCCGAGTCAAACGTCCGGCCTCCGATATCGAAATTTGGGGAAGAGCGGCCTGCGCGTTTCTAATATTGGTTTAGCCACTTGGACTACGTTTAACACGACTACTAACGAAGAACAACTAGACGCCGTAGTGACAGCTGCGTATAATGCCGGAATTAATTTATTCGATTTGACAGAAGGGCCACAAAACAGCGAACAGGCTGAGATCCAATTGGGGAATATACTCAAAAAGAAGAACTGGAAGCGGGTTTCATACAGTGTTATAACCAAAATACACTGGCAATACAAGTGAGTCGACATCTCTCGATCTGAATTTTTTAGTTCAAAACACAACTGTTGTCGAGATATTTTTTTTTTTAATAATAAATTATCCATAGATCCGAAGAACGCGGATTATCTCGAAAGCACATAATCGAATCAGTCCGGTCGTCAGTTGCTCGCCTGCGACTAGACTACGTGGACATAGTGTTGATTCAAAAGGCTGATCCAATGTGTCCTTTAGAAGGTAACACAGATGAAAATCAGTCAATATAACTAGTAGTAATGTTTTCTTATGATTTAATTTCAACGTAGAAGTGGTGAGAGCAATGGACTTCTTAGTTTCTGAAGGACTGATTATGTATTGGGGCACAGCCAGGTGGTCACCAATTGATATCACCGAAATGTACACGGCGTGTCGACAACTCAACTGCGCAACGCCTATTCTTGAACAGGCAGAGTATCATATGCTGTGTAGGGAAAAAGTAGAAATTTACATGCCTGAGCTTTATAATAAAATTGGTATGTATAATCATTAGATAGGTACAAAAGTAATTGTTCTTGATTAAGTTGTATAACAGGTGTTGGTTTAATGGCTTGGTCGCCAATGGCAATGGGTCTCATGCCATCATTGAAAGAATCGTTGAGATACAGGGCAAACGCCGCAAACAGGGTGGGTAAAATAATATTAATAGTACTAGAGTGATAGTAAACTAATACTAGTTATCATTTTAGGCTAAATCTTTGAGCATAAGTTGGAGTCAAGATGATCGAAAACCTTCGAATAAAGAAGTATGCGTTATCTATGTTACAAATACGTGTATATTTATTGGTGAATCAGATCTAACTGATATATCTTCCAACTTAAAATCCACCCGAAAAATGACGCTTTATTTTAAACAATTTTTAAATTCATAGATTACATTCTAAGTAGATTTGCTCAATTTCTTTTTATTACAGAATGTGACGGAAATTGTATTTTATAATTAACCGAAACGAAAGTTTTGAGAGATGTCAGTTAAAACTAATTCATCTGCGTCTTGAATGATTAACTAATTTTCTTTTAGGAACAGAGCGTTTCTTCTAGAAGTACCAAAGAAATTTTGTGTTCAATTTCATTAATAGCTGAACGTTTGGGTTGTAGTCTTGTTCAGCTTAGTATAGCATGGACTTTAAAAAACGAAAGTGTTCAGTGTTTGTTATTAGGGGCAGCTACAACACATCAATTTTATCATGCTTTACATGGACTTCAGGTATAGAAAAAAATTGTTTAATATTAAATTTTGTTATAAAAATTGATTTTTATTTGTTTAAAATGTTATTTATAAAATAAAAAACTAACATTTCTATTACAATTTAATGATTACAGTAAAAAATATAATATAAATAAATTTTTTAGTTGCTGCCTAAACTCAATGCTAATGTGATGGCTGAATTGGAACGTATACTTGACAATAAACCAGTAAGACCACCAATGGTATCAACACTAGCAATGAGATGACAAACAGTGTGCCCTCCAGGCATATTGGGGGGCACTGGTGTGAATGTCGAAGGAGTGAAAGAAGGCAATGATGAGTTTGATGTAAAAGAACGAAAAGTACCATTTTGTGTATTACAATAAAGGACACTACACCAATTTCGATGTTTTATTTGTTAATTTAACATACTGTTAGCATTATAGTTTATTAATTAAAAATATAAATTTTTAACTGATTAGTAGTGAAGTTTATTAATATAAAATTTTTCCTTAACTTACATAACACATGTAAATTATGAAATAAGAAAAAAAGGACTGATTATAAGAAAACAATTAAGTGTGATAAATTTATAATAAACTACTCATAATTTTCTCCAGGAACTCTTACATCATCAATTTTCAACACCATTTTAACTAACTGTGCTGCTAAAATAATTTGTTGTTTCTTACTATGAAGAGTTTCAATGACATTTTGTTCTTTCATATCTGAAAATAAATAATTATTATAATGAGATATAAATTTAATAATAAATAATAATGAAATATAATACTAAAAATTTAAAGAAAATGTACAAACATTTCTGCGAAAATCGCCAAAATATATAATTTATTTAATAACTTTAAAATATAACTTTACAAGAATAGTTAATAATGAATTATAACATTATAATTAAATAGCAACTGAATTATTTTAATGGAATGTAAGAAAATATAAATAATCATATTTATAATTGAGTAGTGATATACTAAAATATTGCATTTTTAAATATTCAAAACAAATTAGCCATTGTTTCTTACTGAAAAAAAATCAAGTAAAGTCAGAATTAATCTAGTAACACAATATCATAGCAACATAATTTATATTAAGACTAAATCATTTTTTTTTCTTTAAATTAGTTTTTCTACAAAATTGAATATATATAATACCACATTTTATAATATACCTCAAATAAAATTTAAAAAATATACATCTTTTTTAGTTATATTTAAAAATATAAAATTTTTTTTACCACAAATAAAAAATGAACAATAATTACCATTAGTTCCGATTAACATGCAGTCAATTCCTAAGGCTGGATTTTTTTCTTTGATCTGTCTGGCCCTTACTTGAGTTAAAGTATCAATGGGAGATAACCCACTATTTTCAGCCAATGCTAATGGAACACTTTCTAAAGCATCTGCAAAAGCTCGGTAAGCATATTGTTCAATTGAAGATATCTTATCAGCTTCAGAGGAAATTGCAATAGCACAAGAAATTTCAGCTGCACCACCACCATAAACAATACGATTATCTTGTACTAAATTACGTACAACACACAAAGCATCATGAATACTACGCTTGGCTTCTTCAATTATCTAAATAATAGGAAAAATTAAGTTATTCATATAACAACCTTAGAACAATTGGTTATTTTTAAAAATTATTAACTTACCATTTTATTTCCACCTCTAATAAAGATAGTTACAGCTCTTGAATTCTTACATTCTTCAATAACTAACATTTTATCTTTAGTAGTACCAAATGAAAGTTCACTAACTTTTCCTGCATAACCAAGTTTTTCTTTAGAAACTTCTTCAAATCTAGGAATAATTCTTCCACCAGTAGCAATAGCAATCAACTAAACGTTTTTTTTTTTTAATTGAATTTACATGTGTAATAAATTATTTAAAAAAAGTTAGTTCAAAAATTTTGTTAAGTTACCTCAATTTCTGGTCCACCAACCCAACGTACAGCAGGTAATTCATGTTGAAGTAGTAAATGATTGGCTTCATCATCAAAACCCCATTGACAAATAGCTAATGTAGCACCAGCATCTTTTACTTTTTTCACCATTTCATTAAATGTATCTTGTTCGTATTTACGAAGTGCTCTATAATCTTCTACAGATGAAACATCTAATTTATGTTTTGTTTTTGGTTTTGGAGGTTCAAATGGACAGGTAAGAATAGCTAAGTGGACATCTTTAAGTTCCTAGTTAAAAAATTAATGAGTTCAAATTACTTCATAATTCATTTAATTATTAGAAAAATTATTCCAAGGTTCAATTTACCTTGGGCATTTGAGGATGAGAAAAGTCTTTATCAACAACAACACCTTTAACTAAAATAGTATCTTCTAATCTACCACCTTCTTTTCCTTGAACTTTAATTAATTCAAAGTTGACATCACGTTTTTCAAAATCTGCTACAGATAATACAGCATTTACCGCTATTTCAGCCATTTGACGATGACATTTATTTACTCTATATACAAATTAAATTAATGTTAGCCTTATGGATACATTATAATAATTAAAGGAAAATATAAATTTGTACAAATAGCTTTTCATACATTTTTGATCCTAAAGTTGTCATAGCTGTTTTAATAAGAGGTTCCAAGTTATTGACATCAACAGGGAATGAATCGGCAATAGAGTCCAAATGCTTACATGCACTTTGGGCAGCTAATTCAAAACCATCAGCAATTCTAATAGGATGAATACCTTGATCAAGTAGATGTTCAGCTTGCTCAAGTAATGCACCAGCAATCACTATAAATGATTGGGAATCAATTAAATTATGTAGCAATAGAATAGAAGTAAATAATATACTTCATACCAACTACGCCAGTGGTTCCATCACCAATTTCATTATCTTGAGATTGTGATAATTGTACCATAAGTTTAGCTATTTCATGATCAACATCCATCATGTTAAGTATGGTAGCACCATCATTAGTGACAGTTACTTCACCATCTGAGGATACCATCATCTTATCTAGGCCTTTTGGACCTAAAGATGTAACTAAGGTTTTCGCAACAGACCGTGCTGCCATAATATGAGACTTTAAAAAAATGAATAATACTTTAAATTATTTTAAGTTCCAAAAATATGATAAAAAATTATTGGATAGTTTAAAAGCATCAGAATAACACATTAAATATACATGAACAAACATGTGTCATAACACGTTCAAAATAAACCAATAGCTAACACGAAAAATTAAATCTAAAAAATCTCATATACATCAGATATTTTTGATAGCAAAATATTTGCTATAGAATTTATTTAAGTAAAAAAATAAGGAATAAATAATATTTATCAATGATCCACAAACCTTTAATGCATCGATACCAGTAAGTCTTTTCTGCTTATGTTGATCTTTTATGATGATAAACGGCGTACCGAATTCATCAAAACCCAAAGAACCGGGTATAAAAGACATTTTATATACTGTGTTTTGCACGATTATTTAATAATTAACACTGAAAAATGGTCAACATTGAATAAAGGCGAATTTAAATATAATAGTAATAACACACCTCTATGGCTATGAACCGAAAAGTAAAGTGCAGCATTACAGATACAATAGTTATAGGTTAGGTTTCTACATATTGACGCGGTGATATTTTTTATAACCATATTATGAATTCTGAAATGATTATATTCATTTGAACTACTTGTAGCTTGTTACACTGTAAGATAACAACTAAAGAAATTTTTCTGGGTTTACTAAAATATGTACTGTAGCTGTTTCTAAGGATTAGTTGAATATTAAAATAGTATTCAGTGTTTGATAAAATAAAAACAAACAATTGAAAAAGTCCTGTTTCGCTTACAATTTTTTAAAAGGCTAGATCCCAAATAGGAAAACACCTCTACAATGAATTGATAATGTTCCGACATTTCTTAAAACGTCTATTATCACGAATTTTATATAATTTAGATTATTTGATACCAGAAGTTGACCGATATTAGTTCAATATTTGAAATATGAACCATTATAGTTTTTTTTGTTTAATATCATAGTTACTAATCACACTATGGTAGCATATTTTATAATATCACAGTATGTGAATGTCGAAGATTATCAGTTTTAACTGTTTCAAATAATTATAACAAATTACACTTGAGGCATTTCGTGAATTGAAACAATTAATTATCCAATTTTTAGAAACTACTTTAATTACATAAAGTAAAAAATATTAAATACTAATAACTTGAGTCCGTATTTATAAATTTTATTTGAGTCATTTCATGAAAAAATCTTTAACATTACTATGATTTCTCTGACCATTTTAAAATTCCCCAACTTCCAGAATTGTCACATTATGATTAACTAATTAAAACAAATATATTCAGGCTATAGGCATAATTATATTTATGTCTATAGTCTATTGTTATACAAATGTTCCTTTTCTAACAAAAAAATGTATAAGTTAAAAAAAAATCTAAACTTTATCATTTATAGATTTAGATTTACATATATAATTTGAAAACCCTAGAGTTGGCTTTAAATTTACATTCATATATCTCAGTCCCGTTCATAAAATTTTTTTATTGAGCCCAGATTTTAATATCAATAACCATATACTTGTACATCAATAATTTAAGTATGGCCATATCTATTGTGCATAAACACAACAGGAAAATTGTCATAAGCACAACTAAAATAAAATTTTTGGTTAGGAGCTAAAATTTTTTTAAAATGATTTTTTAGTGCAGAGCAGGACTGGTTGGAACTATACACCTAACCATTTAGTGTATAAGATGATAAATTATGGTTACTACAAAAACTGTAGGATACAAAAAAAATATAAAAATTGTTTTTAAAACATCTATATTTACAAATCAATATTCATTAATTTTTCTTCACATTTAATTAATCTAGAAGCTATCTTACGCTGTTTTTTAGCATTTTCTTTTTGTAATTTTTTTAATCTTAATACACCAGGTTGAATATCTATCTTTTTATCTGATGATTCTACTTTCTTCTTTTTTCTCCATCTAAGTTTTCCAGACTTTTTTGTTTGTACATCATCTACTACTATCATTTGTTTTCCATCAATATCCATTTTATTTGTTTGAGTACCTTCAACTGATAAATCTGGTTGAATTTTTTCAAGTTCTTCCATAAATTCAGTTTCAACTCGCTGTATATTTTCCAAATTAAAAATTGTTGAAGTATCAGAAACAATTTTGGCACTTAAATGGACTATATCATGTTCTGGTGGCAATGTGTGATATCTTATTTTACCTCTAAAAAATAATTATTCACATCAGAATTAAAAACTACAAAAAGACATCAAAAGTATGTTATTTTTACTTAATGAAACATTATTTTACTTCTAAAATATATCCAAACAAAATGAAAATCAATAATTTAATGTTAATTTCAAAGAAAAATGGTTTACCAAAAAAATTGTAAAAAATGTTTTAAAAATTAATAGATATTTTAAATTAAATTAAATAAATAAATTTAAGAAATTGATATATTATTCTTTGTTCAAAATATTTTTTTCTTTGAATTAACTTCTTTTCTTAGAAAAGAACATAGAATGATAATGATTATATAAATAAATTGGTGTAACTATAGAATCATTAAATATGTGTTAAATATTATTTAACATCAGCAGGGATATTTGTCCAAAAATTAACATTTTATTTGTTCACAAATTTTTTGTTTTCATAACTTTTTTTAAAAATCAATTATTTTATCCAAGACTCTAAAATTTGAGATCCCATTGAAAATAAAAAAAAATTTGTTTGAAAAAAATATTGAGGATGGTACAGATCTAACAAACAACTCATATAACTTATTATCTAAATAACATTTTGCACTTTTTTTTAACCAGTTTTTACACTATATAGGACTATATTTAAAACAAGTTTTGATATTTTCACAATTACAAAAAATCATTTTTTTACTAACATTATTTTTAAGATTTCAAGATATCCATTTTACAGATAGGTTTTAAAGAAAAATTTTAATACCAAAAACTCTTATTATATTTTAGTTGTTACGTTTCTACAGCATTTTGAATTTTTTTACAATTTTTTTATGGTATCAAATATTAGTTTATATTGTATAATATTGTTTTAACTTTGTGGATCATTTATATACTAAATAAAATCGTTAGGCAATTTTTTTTTTTTTGACTTATAGTATGTAAAATAAGATTTAATTTAACATATGTTAAATGCTCAGAGATTTTCAGGAACATATTCAAAAGTTAAGTTGAAAAACTTCTATGATTGTATGTTATATAAAAAATTTGTATGTTTCAAGTATTGAACCTTTCTGTATGAAGAGAATTGGTAATGATCCATACATTTTTTAAAAAGTTATAGCAATTTAAAGTACAAAAATAAAAATATGAAATTGAAAATTTTATCACAAAAGTTTCATGTTTTATTAACTATGTCAGACATTTGCACTTAGAAGATAAATATAGGGACAATTTTTTTTTAACTTATAGTACGTAATACAAGCATTGTTTAAAAATATTTTTAAAGCTTGGTGTATTTCCAAAACATTCTTAAAAGTTAAATTTTTGTGCAAAAGTTGATATTTTGAATGTCCTTTGAGAGGGTAAAAGGTCAGATTTTCAAACAAATTTATATCAAATGAAAGAGAAATAACTAAGGTAATTATATATAAAAAATATTTTGTTTTGTTAATTTTTAAAAAAAGTTTTACAATTTAAGAAAAAGAAGTTACAAAAATATCAAAATTTATTGATTTTAAAAAATTGTAATTTTTGGGGGAATTTTCCCCATTTACAGAGCCAAGTTAATTTTTTTCAATATTTAAGGGCAATGTCTTCAGCTAGACACAATATGTGATCTTTTGAAGTATCATTAAAAATGTGGTGACCGGCAAAAAAAAAACACATCAAAGTAAAATTAATGCTTATTCGGATTCCCATTGAAGCTAAAAGAAAAAAAAAAATTTTCTGAAATTTATTTTATTTTTTATATAACTAAGAGGTTTATGATCACTCTGTATATATATTTTTCAATAATATTTAACACAAATTATTAATAATTCTAGTAAGTGGTAAATTATTATTTAAGACAATAGTTTGAAATATTATTATCATAAATGTCAACAATTAAATGATTAGTACTATTTTACATACCGATTCCAATCCTCAACTAGACTACGAGCAGATGTAAAAATATCAGGAATACCTCCTCGGCCAATATTGCCGAATCTCCTTGCTTTTAAGTATAGAAAATGTTCACATGAATCATATTGCCCAATACCATATAATTTTTGCATCTATTAAATAAAATTTAATCACTGTAGAGTTTCTTCATAATTTTTTCTCTTTTATGAGACTTGGAAGAAAAATATAAGAAATTTCATTAGTATAGTGAGAAAATTATAATTCTTTAAGACATTTCTTTACTAAACTTATTTTTTGTTATATAGTATACTTAAATAATAATTGTAAAATTTATCAAAATCTTATTTTATCTTATTATCATCTTAACAAATTTTGATAAAAATTAGTTTTTCTTAAAAAATGTTTTGAAATGCTTGTTAGCTCTACTTTTGTAATGTTTATCATTAATATATTGATTTTTGGTTGAGTAAAATTACCTGATCTTTTGTAACACGCCCTATAATAACTGAAGCACAAGTAATAGGGTCTTCAATACTTCCTGAACTTACAACATTTTTTAAAGCCACACTGTCTGTAGTAGATTCTTTGTCTAATACTACCCCTGGACAATCTAATAATTTTATATGCTTGTCCAACTGAATTTCTTGCATGTTCCTTCAAGTTTTTTTACAAAATAAAATGATAAAATATATTTCTAAATAAAATAAATATTGACATCTTAAATATTTGAGAAAATATAAGTAGTATAAATGTTTTATTTTCAATTCATTAACATACAGCTTTTATATATTATTTTGTTTTTGAAAATATATTGCTCCATTTAGCAATATTTTTGATAAAATTAGTTTTATTTATTATTGATATTATAATAAATTAAGTACAGTATTTTTCATTGATTTCTATATATAAGGATATAGTGTTTACAGCCATTGAAGTTGACTTGTGGTAACCCGTCTAAATATTATCATAGGAAATATATATATATATATGATCAATATATAATTAATTTTAATGAATTATTTAATAACACTAACCAACAAAAAAAATATTGGAATGTTTCTTAACTCAATTGAGATATTTCTGATTATTTTTGGGTCGAGAAAAATGAATATGGCAATAATAAATGTTTATTAGCTACCATTTTAAAGATACATAATACATAGACATTATTCTAAAATGAGCTGTTTAAATTAACTATTATATTCAATAGTGTCTGTATTATTGAACAATTGTGAATTTCATATATAAAATAAAAATTTCTTCAAATGGTGAATTCATGGGAACATGTTCTTTTGTCCTGTCACTTATACAACAACTTGAGAATATTTCTGCAAACAGTTTATTAGTAGTCTACCAGCATTGATTTATTCCAACAACCTCAATATCGCTGGTTCATTGATGAAATCATTTGCCATACTCATCACTAATCACTTCACAATTTTCAAAAAAAATTCAAATTGGAGTGGAGAATATGAATTTTTAACGACACATTACAACCCATAGCACAGTATATATCAAGGAGGTTTTTTTACAAACTGAGGATAGATACTGTCTTTCCTGTTATCAAGCAATGCAAACATCACTTTTTTGAATGCTCTCCAAGCTGCCTTCACTTTTACCTTCAATATTTTATCAGTTTTTGTATCTCTAACATTTTTTTTATGAATTTACAGTCCAACAAAATTTTCATCTTTGAATTTAGCATAACTCAGTCATAGAAATCTTTGCTAATTCATAACTTTTATAAAGTTCTTGATCAGTCCCAGTTTGGTGTGTTAGGCCGGTATAAGTACAAATTTAGGATCTACCAAAGGCTCTTTCTATATTTTTTTGTCCCAAGGATTGATTTTTGAAGGACAATCAACTTTTTTGTAATGAGAGTTCTTATCTCTACTATCCCACATGCGTAAAAAGCAGCAGTGCTTGGTGTAACCCAATTGCAATCCCAGGAGTATAACAATAACTTTGAAAACAGCACAAATTTGCCATTTATACTCAGCATATTTAATGGAATTGAGAAACTGTATCTCAAAAACTAAAACATTTTTTATTGTCATATTCGTATTCAACAGTCCAAAATAAACTAATATCAGTCAATTTTGAGCCCAAAACATTTTCTTTGTTGGTCAGTGTAATTAAATATTAAGTTTAAATAAAGGTTTAAACCTTATAAAGGTTAATTTAATAAAGTTTTAAATTTAAATAATAAAGGCTTTGGTTAATAAGTAGAAAATATAAACAATATATATTTCTCTAATAAATTATGATGTTCAGGAAATTATATTTGGTATTTTTTATTTTCACACATTTTTTAATTTAGCAGTTATTAATTATTCTTTTAATTCATCCCTTATGAATGTTAATTATATTTTTTAAATAGCAACATACATATTCAACTAGCTATGAAATAAAAAATGATCTAATTAAGAAAATAACTGGTCAATAACAAAATTTGACCCATTATTACTTAAGTTATCACAATTTTAAAAAATATAGACTGAAGGTTATGTGTATAATAATATTTATAATTAGACACAACCTTCTCATACCTATTTATAAAAATAGTGATAACTTCTGAAATAATGGGTTAAAAGTTGTTATTGACCAATTTTATTTTATAAGATTAACAGGTATAGCCCTGTTAATAATTAAGTCATCTAGCGAAGTAACCTAACATAATTACAATACAATACAAATAAAAGAAATAACAAAACACGAAAATATATATTATTTTTTAATTTTTTAACTTCACAATGTAATAATTAAATATAAGCTATTTAGTTGGTATTAAAATACATAGTGAGAGTAAGCAGGACCCTATTTTAAATAAGTCTTATTGGTTCATTAAGCAAATAGTTATTATTATTAGAGTATAAGAGTGAAAAGGATCTGAAATTCCTCAGAGAAACTTTTATATTTATTAAAGACAGGAGGTAGGGTGAGTCAATTTTCTTATTAAGCAGCCTGTTTAAACATTTTAAGCCTGTATCATCTCTATGATCTGAAAATGAAATCAAATTAAGTTTTTTAAAAACAAGAGGTATAGTTGTGAGAACTATGTTGAATATAATATAAATCCAGCAAAAATTTGTGTATGTGGACTCTTAACAGCAACACAATATTTTCAAGTATGGGTCAAACAATTGCTCAATACATCATTTTTAAATATAAATTGAGTTTTAAGTTAAAGATAGCCTCATTACAAAGTATTGCAACACACCATTTCAATGTGAAATTTAGGATCTAATAAATTATTAAATATAATTAAAAAAATCGACACTCTTATAGGTATAAGGGATGAATTAAAAAAATGATTAAAAACTAATTAATCAAGCAATATATGAAATAAAAATACCAAAAATAATTTTATTAACATTATTATTATTTTAAGAGAAATTGAGTAGCTAATGTTAAAAGAATCACCTTTTAAGTATATATAAGATAAAATTAGGTTTTAACATTACTAACTTTGTTACACCTGGAACAGCACCAACTTGACATGCTCTAGCTCTTTTCAAACTATTAATTAAACTGCTTTTGCCAACATTAGGCATACCTGTATGGATTATGAAATGATAAAAATAAATATTACAATTGAATAAGTAGTGAGAATACAATCATAAAAAATAATCAGAAAAAAAATATCTAACCAACAACTCCAACAACAATTGATGTTTTCATCTTATCACTACGACAGTAATTTGCTAAGAGAGTCATGATAAGCTCTGCACCAACACAAAGACTTATAGCTTTTTCAGTGTCTTTTTTGCATTTATTCATTTTCCTATGGCCTATACGAGAACCAGCTTGTTGAGTACTAGCTTTAAATGGTAAAGCAGGTGTTCCTAACTGTCCTCTGAAATAGGATAACCAATTACGAACTACTTCTGCTGGAACAAGATCTGTTTTGTTTAGAACAACAACAAGTTTTTTTCCCAATTCTTGAGCAGACTCTAAAACACGAGTACATCTTGTACCAAGTGGATCACGAGCGTCTACTACTTCTAATACTACATCAGCAGCATTAACTACCTAAAAATAAATTATAATTTAATAAAATATATCTGAGTAGTTAGATAAATAAAATTACTTTTCTAAACTCATCTTTAAAAGACTTGTTGTCTAATTTAACAACATTTTTATACCCAGATTCTTCATGTTCTTCACTTTCAACAAAATTTGCTTGTTTCGACTCAGTTCTTTTCACAAAATCTGCTAATGTTTCCTTTAATGATGTTATTGATTCTATTTTTGTTTCATCTTTTGGTTGCTCTTTATCTTTTTTATTCTCTGCTATTGAATTCAAAGATGTCTTTTTCTTATCTGTTAAAATTGAAAAGTAAACATTTTAATTTGAAAATGAACAGTTCATCAAGGCCACAATAAAATTAAAACTATATATTTAAATAATTTTTTATGTAATAGATAATTTAACACATGCATAAAATAAAAAATAAAAACTTTTGAAAAAATCACAATGAAAACATAGATAATCAAAAAGTTCAGTCATTTGGTAATTTTAGATATTATAAAACAAATTAGATTTAATAAAATCTAAGTACCTTTTTTCCATTTTAATAATGCTCTTCGATTTTTCGTTTTATCTAAAATAAAAATAAAAGATAAACAATTTTTTATAATGCTCATATAAAAAAGTTGATTAAAGTTATAATAGTAAAGAACTTACTAGATTTTTGATAACCCATTAGTAATTTAAATTTCACAACTTATTCTAATGTTTAAAAAAATTGTTCTGTGGAAAAAAGCACATGACAGAAGAGTGATAACAGTACTTAACTGACAACAACGAAACAAAAATTTATTGATAAAGGCAAACAGTTTTTTTTCACCGATGTTTAAAATATCATTCTTATTACCATAACAGATAAGACAAAACATATCTTTTTTATGTTAAAATATTTTAGCTTCGATTCGAATATGAGAAGATATTAATTTTACTATGATTTTTTTTTTTTGTTTGTTACCACTTTTTCTCAGCTCTCACCAAACTGATTTCTTTCAATGATACATCAAAAGATCACAAATCGTATTTAGTCGAAGACATTACCCTCAAAAATTGNTCCAATCACCACCTTCTAGACCAGCTAGCGCACTTGAATGGGATAGCTCTTATAATGGGTAAGGACACTTCATTTAAGGTTCATTAGCATTGATTGGAAATCTAGGGGTAATTGCCCCCAGCTTACAATATAGCCTCTTCAGAAATTTTACTAAATTATACAAATAAAAATTACTTTTTGTGAGAAAAATTTTATTTAGCGCCTTAAAAAAATTTATTACCCTGCACACTATGTTTAAATTATTAATTTATTTTAGCTTCGATGCGAAACTGAGAAGGTATTGTTTTACTATGATGTGTTTTTTTTTGTTACCACTTTTTTTCAGCTCTCACCCAACCGATTTCTTTCAACGATACGTCAAAAGATCACAAATCGTATTTAGTCGAAGACATTACCCTCAAAAATTGAAACAATTTCTCTCGTTCCCTGTAAATGGGGGAAACCTCCAAAAAAATTACAAATTTAAAAATCGCTAATTTTCGAAATTTTTTCAATTTTTTTTTCCTTAAAACTGCCATAACTTTTTTTAAAAATAATTAAATCAATATAATTTCTTTTCTATAGATGCATGATGTCTTTACCTTTCATTTGGTATATTTTGATAATAAATTTAACCCTTATTCTGCCCATAGGAGGGGATTTAAAATAACAACTTTTTTACAAAAAATTAACTTTTTCAACTTAAATTTTGTAAGTGTTCCGGAATACTGACACTTTTCTATATATCTTAAATTAAAGCTAATGTAATATACTTTATTACGGAAAAAAAAAACTTTACGGGAGGGCTAAGTTAAACAAGAGTATGTAATACATAAAAAATTCCGTTTAGCAATGGCTACATCTGTTTACGTGCACAATAAACTTACTAATTGTAAGTGCATACATTATAATTTTTTCTATTGCAAACATTGTATGAGAAAACAATTACTCCCACGCAGAGACTGCTTTTCTGCTAAACTTAACTTTTACTATGAGAATATGAAGTACAAGAAACCTATTTATTACTCTTTCCGCTGCTTTTTTATACATAATTTTGACAATATAAACATAAATTTGTTATGTCACTAAAATTTTCTAACACAATTTTTTTTAAGCCATCTTAATAGTCATCGGTATTAAAATTAAGATCAAAATTCATCTCTTTCATAGTAGTCAAAGCATAATAAATTATACATACTTCATAGTTTCAAATATCTATTTGTTTCGGTACGTTTTTAGTATTACATTTAACCAATGATAACTCTGGAATATATTCGCCTTTATACAGTATTTTTTCATAGCAATTTTTCTAATTTTGTAGAATTTAATCATGAGGATTAGTTGGATACATTATATTTATTACACATAGCTTAATACTCATTTAGCTCAAAATTTATTATTTTAATAATATAATGTCACATTGTATTACATGGCAAAAAACTATACAATTTTTTTCAACATTTTATGTATTTCTTATTTTAGCTTCAATGCGAAACTGAGAAGGTATTGGTTTTACTATGATGTGTTTTTTTTGTTACCACTTTTTCTCAGCTTTCGCCGAACTGATTTCTTTCAATGATACGTCAAAAGATCACAAATCGTATCTAGTCAAAGAAATTACCTTCAAAAATTGAAAAAATTTCCCCGAAAAGTCTGGAACTTTTATATATATTTTAAATTAAAGCTAATGTAATATACTCGTTCCCCGTAAAGGGGAAAACCTCCAAAAAAATTACAAATTTAAATATCGCTAATTTTCGAAATTTTTTCAATTTTTTTTCCTTAAAACTGCCATAACTTTTTTTAAAAATAATTAAATCAATATAATTTCTTTTCTATAGATGCATGATGTCTTTACCTTTCATTTGGTATATTTTGATAATAAATTTAACCCTTATTCTGCCCAAAGGAGGGGATTTAAAATAACAACTTTTTTACAAAAAATTAACTTTTTCAACTTAAATTTTGTAAGTGTTCCGGAATACTGACACTTTTCTATATATCTTAAATTAAAGCTAATGTAATATACTTTATTACGGAAAAAAAAAATTTCGGACTTTATTTTGTCTTCACGGTGAAAATGGCTACCGAATGCTATTTTGGGTGAAAATTCTCGATTTTATATTTTATATTTTTAACTTTATAATGCTATAACTTATTGAAAAGTGTATGGATCAATACAATTTTTTTATGAGAAATGACATATATATATCCCTCTTTCATTCGACATACTTTATTTTAAACAGAATTTAAATAAGGAAATAACAAATCATGTAGCTTTTGGAATAATCCATAAATTTTTTAAAATTAAACACTATCTAAAGATTTGCATCGAAGCGTTTTTTGTGATAGTGATTTTAATCACTATTATATAGAACAGTATTTATTGATATCAAGAGCGTTTTTGATTCAGTCATATCCCTATTCTTTTAAAACGCTTAAACGTCATTGAACTACCCCCTTCCCTTTGTAATTTCATTTTCTCACTTTTTCTCATCGCTTCTTACACTACTCCTTCCCTTCTGGGACTTTTATTTCTAGTTCATCATTTTGCGGGCTTCCACACAAAGGAGTTTTTAATCTAATTTATTTCTCCTCCCTTTATTATGCCGATGATATCGTCCTATTTTCTTCTGATCACAATGTAACTATTCTCATTAACAACTTCTTGTCCATCCTCTCCAAAAACCTCCTTCTTATTTTTTCACTCCTATTCCTGAAAAGAGTCAATTAATTATATTTACAAGAAAACATATACCTATCTATATCTCCATCGTTACATTACATGGTTACAATACCTCCCCTCCAATACTGTTACTTACCTAATACTTAACTTAGACCCCAAGTTAAGATGGTTCCTCATTTTCAGGTTCTTTTTCCTTTGCATCGCGCTGGTTTAATTTTATCTATTGTATTACCTGAAAATCATGAGGATCCCATCCCTCCTTCCTTTTATTAATTTTTAACTTTATTATTCGCGCTAAGATTGACTACGGTCCCTTTCTTTTCTTTTTTGCATTCTTATACCATTGTTATAAGTTTAATTCAATAATGACTCCGTGCTTACGCTGAATCTTATGCTCCTTTCCTTCTACTCCTGTCCCCAGCCTTGAAATAGAATGCTGTTGTTCTCCTATCAAAAATAGAAGACATCATTTAGTTTAATACGTCCTAAAATTCATTGCCTCTCCTAAACCCTCAATTTTTAACCTCATAAATCCGTTCGTCAATTTTGGTGATGTATCTTCAAAACACTTACTATGCTTTAACTATACACATTAGGGATTCTACGTATCAAACCAGCCTTGTGTAGTTCTTCAAAAATGGATACTATTTTGTTATAAACTCCCGTGATGCTGGCAACCTGCAAGCTAATAATAACCGTGATCTGTCCACCAGTTTCCCTACGAACCAATTACAAGTTGGCACCACCACCATCGGCCGCTACATGACTGTACATAGATTCTCCGCTAGATTACCAAGGTAAAAAGGTATACTTATGTTGTATATATTTTTCAATAGTGAAAAACAACGTTTTTGATTTTTATTTTGTTGCTCATTTTTTTTTGTCCTCCTTTTTTTTAAATAAAACATTAAGCTGTTCTGCTATGGCTTATAATATATTTGAACGGATCAATCAGGCTGTTTTTTTCTGTCGTTCGTTTATTTTTTTTTAACAACATGTCGAGATATTCAGTTGCCAGGCTATAATGGTATGAAGCACTGAATATGACCTGTGGTGGACTGAAACGTATGGAGAACATCAATCAACTAAAATAATCCCCAATTGACCTTCTTTAATTTTTTCTTTCTTTGTAATATGTTTATACCTCTATTAAATATATATATATGCATTTGTAAAAATTTTGATGTCTTTAATTAGTCTATTTATACTAATTCAACAAATTTCATTGGCAAAGAATTAGTTTTTTGCAAATAATATACTGTATTTAAACTGCTAAATATAATTTGCTTGTTTCAAAAATAGTGGAATATTTTTAATTCAAATCTCATCTAGTTTATAACGATTAGAAAAAAAAATAATATTCTACAAAGTGGTGCATATTTATAAAAATATTTATGATGAATTCTGCTATCAGATTTTTCCTTACTTACTGAACACCCTATAAAATAAATATTTGAAAAATAAATTTCAAATTATTGTGTTCCCTTGTCGGAAAATTGTTATTGGAAAATGGGTCAAAATTAAGTTCAAAGATTTACAGCATAGCCGAAGACAAACAAAAAACAGAATATGTCAAGGTAAATATAAGATTTAAAATAATATATTTTTTTATAGGCTTTACAGTCCTGAGTAATCTGGGATGAGGTCCAATGGAGTTTAGTGAATGTTTTCAAAAATAAAAAGTGTTTGAAAATGTTATGTATTTTTTAAAATTAGATTAATAGAACCCTTAAAATGTGTCCTCCTTTAAGTATGGTTACAGTCTATTATATGTACGTCATAGTTTCTAAGTATGATATCGTACTCGAGTAACATACGTTGTCCAATTACAAAAGTCTTTAATTTTTTTTTTTTGAGTTAGATATGATCTGATTTAAGTAAAAACAATTTTGAATATTCCTTTTATACATTTTTTAATTATATTAGGTTTAGTCATTCCAACTTCTTTATATTCAATACGGCCAAAGAGGATATGGCTCCCAGTCTCCGTAAAATGTCTGATTCTGGTTGTAAGAGAACAATTACTAAAATTTCTGTAACAAATTAATAATAATAACTGTTAACTAAA